AGTGCGTTTTTATTCAATTAATATAATTATAAATAATATGTAGCCGAAAAAGCAGCCAAAGCGCCAAATGATATTTTTTACGTCAAACAAAAAAAAGTAGCCACATTTGGCCCAATGAAGCCAAATCTCGCAACGTTGGAAGAAATACTAAATAAAGCTGGAATAAGTGCCGGAAAAAGAGGCAAAAGACAAAAGAGAAAGAAGTGCAAAAGGTTGAAAAATTACGGGTCCATATTTGCTGAACAGAAGATCTATTTAACCTTTCTCACTACTACATCTTTTTTCGTCCTTTCTCATCTTTCCCTCCTTTTTCCAAATTTGGATCTATAATCCTTTGAGTCACAACTCCAGCTTTATTTAGTAATCCTTCCGTTTTCACACATCTCCAAGTACTGTACAGTATTTGGAAATATTTTCTTTCTACTCAAAAATAAAATATGAATAAAGGTTTACGGCTTTGTGAAACTTTTTTTTTGAGTTTATGCCGTTGAAATAAATAAATAATAAAAAATTAAAACATTTGTCGGTTTTGTTTACACGTTTATTGGGCCGCATTGGAACTTGCCTTGGGCCGCGGGTTGGACACCCCTGCACTAATTGGTCATCGAGTCCGATGTTGACGCTATAAAAAGGCGACAGTTCGACACACCGGATTATAATAACATTTCTATAATAACCGGATTATAATAACATCGTCACTCTCGTCTAAGTTCGACTTGGGAATTTTTTTGTTCAATAATAAATGTGAATTCTTCTTCCTGGAAAAAATAAGACATTTTCTGAAAATAAGACCTAGCGCATTTTTCAGAGCAAAAATTAATATAAGACACTATATTATTTTCGGGGAAACACGGTATGTATCGTGAGCGTCTGTCAGATACTCCTTTGCCACCCACTCCCATAGTCACGAGATGAGGCAGATGGATAAAAGCGGCAGTATTCTATGTGAAACATTTACGTGACCTTCAAAATTTTATCAATGAAATGAATGAATCAGAAAGTTATTTCATTGTAGATGTTAAGGAAGCTTTGGGAATCCATATTAAACCGCTTCTCTAGTTTACATATGCACCCATTTGTTAAATTTTCCGGATATCATTGAAGCATTAGAAGCAAGAGAGGTTGTCACTTGAAGAATCTCTAAAAATTTTTCAAACAGCAGAAGATTCTATACAAAACCATCCTGGTGGTTTTTCTGTGCTTCTCTAAGTTAATAGCTGTCTAGTCGGAAAATCGTCGGACATCCCTGAGGATGTAGGGCTTGCCAATGTACCTTTGCTGAAATACTGTCCCATGACTACGGTCGAGGCCGAGAGAAGTTTTTCATTGTATAAAAACATTCTCACTGACCGTCGACACAGTCTGACAGAAGAAAATATAAAAATAGATTCTTGTATGTGCATGATCATATTTAAACAGTTTATAATATCGTATACTACATTAATTAATAAACAAATAAATGAAGAAAATTTGATAACTTTATATTATTGTTTTATTCCGAGAATAAATTCGAAAACGCGATCTTTTCGATTCGATTTCGGATCCAAAACTCCACTTTTATCGATCCGAAAAATCCAGGACTTACACCAGAAGGTTTAATCCACCAATACCCATAATGTATTATCCATTGAGAAATTTCTATCTTTCAGTATAACTGCACTGTCACTCGCAATTTAGAATAATTAGAGTCTTTTCTATTTCCGGTAGCTTATTATATTGTAGAATACATTAGGGCAAAAATATGCCATAACAATTTACATAATTAGTAAATCTTAATATATCCATGCATTAAAAGATAGCACGATCACATTTAGATCGCCGCAATAAGCAATGGTATTTATTAATTGTATGTAATACAGTATACTGTAATTATTACAGATATGACAAGAATTCATTGGAACGTTATACATGTACATTTTTTATATTGAAAATTGACAATATTTTCTTCTTTGTATCATAATTTCCATAATTTGAAGATGTTTCATAATGACGTGCAACTTCTTCCCATAAAAACCATGTATTAAACACTTTTTTTCTTCCACTTAATATCTGTTTGTGTGTGTAAAACGTCGCTATTTCTTTAACTGTTCAGAACATTTATCGTATAATTATAACATTTTAAATATTAATAGAGCAAATTAGTTATAATTAATTACAGTATTATAACATAGTACATATATATATTTAAAAACATATTTAATATTCATTACCGGTATATCAAAATTCTAAAACGATGTAATTGGTTAAATTAATTAATCTTTTATTTACTGTTTACAAATAGTATGGATAATATATATAATATATATACTATTTGTAACCAATATATATATATATATAAATTAATGTTTTATTGATTTAATCAAGCTATACAATTTTACTTTAAATTTTTACAAATTTCTGTTGATAGAAAAGATAAAATAAAATTAATTCCTTTTCAATGAATTTTGTGTTTTCGAATTAATATTTATTTTTGTATTGTTTTTCATTATACGAATTGAGATTGATTTATTCATTTATTTTGTTTTTCTTAAAAAATACAAACAAGTGTAATTAGATTGAAAAATGTCCTTACACAAAAGTATCGTTGCTGGAAAAGTCAATAGAATCGATTATTCTTTTTCTCTTTTGTAACTAGGAAGTTGAGTGGCAGCTATGGCGGCACTCTGCTAACCTTGTCTGCCTTTCATATTATATAAATCTCCTATACAATACACTACTTGATACAAAACTCTTTACTAAAACTTTACTTCTCGGTCATCAATCACTGTTTGTGAACGTTATCGAAGAATTGCAAAAGTATAAAAATACTGTGCGATAAAAATAATGTTTAATTCGAAATGTTTTGATAATAAAACAATCAAATATAAAGTTACAGACATTTTATGTAAAATAAAATAATAATACATTAATTTTCATTATTTTCATTGGTTTAATTTCGAAAAATTGAATAAGTAAATTTATAATATTATAATTACTTCTTAATTTTATAATCGCAGTAGTTAGCTAATTTCGATTTCTTCACGTAGACAACGTAAAATAGACTTTATTAATGCGTTTTATATCTAAATTTTTCATATTTATATAGACTATCTGTAATTAATTTATGAACCTTACTACTTACTTACCTACTTAAGTGACAATAAAAACATCTTTAATGAAGATTAAATAGTACGAAAATTATAGATATAAACTTAGTAAATCTTAATATAAACTTAGTATATCTTATAAAGTTAGATATAAACTTAGTAAATCTTTTAATGCATGATTTAATGCAATTAAATCATGCATTAAAAGATAGCACGATCACATTTAGATCGCCGCAATAAGCAATGGTACTTATTAATTGTATGTAATAAGTTTTGTAATATGTAATATGTAATAAGTTTTTCAACAAAATATTTAATATAAGCTAATTACAGTATGCACTAAACTGCAAAATTTCCTTTATAGAAATGAAGTGGAAAAATACGCACATCAATATATTATATATGTTTCTTATTGTCATAAGGTGAAACTTAATGATAGACAAAACTATTCATGTTTATTATGTATTTCCTCAACTACAATCTTTTTACATATCATGGCAACTATATGAAGAATACATTGAAAATGACTATCACCGTTTCTGGAATTGAAAGACAACGTTAAATATTTCAATATAGAAATTATAACGTTAATTACATATCTCGGCCAGACGATACGCAGTACAGTACTCTGGAAATTTTGAAAACTTCAAGAACTCCTCTTTGGTAATACGCAGTGACCACAAATTCATCAAACAATCTGTTCCCTTCATTAAGTTAATAGATTAGTCTCTACTACTGCACATTTTTACAGTCCGGTCAAGAAGACGGCCGGATGTCCGAGCGGTCAAGGTGGCAGCTTACCGCTCTTGGGGATCCGGGATCGAATTTAAACGGTAAAAAAATTCCAGGAATTTTTCGGGGGCCCCATTGCGGGCCTGGCCGAATCTATAATGGGCTTGCCAAAAGAAGCATTTTTAGCGCCACAGAGCGGAAAGGGTTAAAAAAAAGTCCGGTCAAATGTACACATTTTTAACCTAAAGCTTCATTTTGCGTCGTTGTTTGTTTTTTTAATTTTTGTAAGAGAATCTAAATTAATATCATAACTAACTATTTACATAATTCTGTAATATTACGAAATACAGTTTTACGAAAATAAATCATAAGATGGAACCATATTAGGATTATTTAGATTATTTAATTAAAAACAAAAAAAAATATCTTTTGGCCGTTGGAAACGAGATTACGAAATTGCGTCGTTTGGAGGCGTTCGAATTTCAAAATGTCGAAAATAAGCGGCGAGGAAGACGAGGAAGAAGCTAAAGAAATGAAAGTGGAGGAAAATAACTCGGAAGGAAGTGAAGAAGAATATTCAGTGCCCAAAATTTCTCCTTCTAAGAAAAGAAGATACTCCGAAGAAGACGATTCCATCATTCAGATAGATTTTAATCAAGAAATGGCCAAACTTTTAGAATGTTTCGGTTCCGATATTAATAAATGTCTTGTGGCCAAACGAAGACGTTTGGAACAGTTTATTCAGGTTAGTATAATTCAGATTCGAGTATTTATTAAAGTAGTAACGTAGTTATTAGCATTTTGGAAGCGGTAGCTCGCGATCTACCAGTTGAGAAATGTTCTTTGGTCGTGTTGTGATTTACTACGTCAAAAGACGATAAGAATTTTTGAAATTACGATTTATGAATAATTAAAATTGTCATTATTAGTTTTTATGACATAATATAAAAACCCATCTTCGATTAATGTAAGTTAAATCAATCGAAGTTGGGATTTAAATTCAACAATTCGAACGCAAAATTCAGCATTTGTTCTGAAATAGATGAGTTTTCTACTGTATAAAAACATATGTATGATGCGGATTGATATTTTAATGATGATAAAATTTTATTTACAAATTTTTCGATTTCTAGGATACGATCCGTGCAACGACACGACGTGTTTTGGAAGCCACAAAAATACAAACGAGCGAAAGGAAAAGATTAATGGACGAATTTCGTATGCAGTTGAGTACGTTAATACAACAATCCGAGACAGAATTAGACAGGATTAAAGAATCTGAGGACAAACTTCAGGTATTTCACTTTTTACATTCCCGGCTGTTACGTATACATAATAAAGTATTGGAATCGTATGAAATTTAATCTCTGAGTGTTTTGCAAATCACGGTTTTGAGACCACCTGAACCCGAAAAACGGAAAAAAAAATCCCATGTATGTTGGCGTCTATTTCGTTTACAGGATGGAGTAAAGATTAAGAAACGAAATTTGCATAGTAGCTTGCGTATGAGGTAGCTTGATGATATTCAATTTTGATGGTTAAAGATCGATGGAGTAAGGAGAAAGTGGATGGTCACGTGTCATATACACGTGTTTAGATATAGGACTTAATGAAGATTTTACTCGTTATTACCATTTACAATATTTTATAAAACTCATCACTACCCTGAAAATGAAGTTTGTCATTTTATAGTAATTAAAAATATTAGTTTATAACAAAATTTCATAACAGATGGCGCCACAAACAATTTTATTTATGCTTAATAAAGTGACTTTTAAAAATTAAATTTCGTAACAGTCGGGAAAGTTACGCAACTCGTTGCTAGATTTTTTTAACTTATGATTGTAAATTCGAAAATATTTTACTAATGAATAGTAATTAAAGTTTGCTTTTAACTAATTATATGAAGTATTGATCAAGAGAGTTGCTATTCAATATCTGTGTTTATACAGAGATGCATAAGATGCAAAAAGTATGTATGTCATACTCGTCTACTTTATCGATTACGGAAAAGTCTTTCATAAAATTCATCAAGAAAAACTAATCGTTTCTCAACAACAAAGGATTAGATAAGCAAGATAGAATTTATGCTAAGACAAACGTTATACTGCAACAAAGAGTAACTACTAAATTAGAAAACTCTTATACAAAACAAGTAGAAATCCCGAGAGGAGTTTATCAGCCTGTATATTATCTTTTCTTCTTTTCAATCTACAAAGCGAAGAAATAATGAGAGGCGCTTTGCAGACAACAGAAGAAGTTAGGAAAAGTATTTTTAAGATTAAATTGTAACTATTTTAAATAAGTGATGTCTTCAATATACATCTGAGAAGGGCCGTTACTGATGGCCGAAATAATAAAATGAAGGAAACGAAATCAAACTCCTGTTATTTAATTGCAATGTCTTTTTGAACGAATAAAATATGAAAGACACGTCTACGTTTTCTTTTTCTTCATTGAGAATCGACAAAAAAAGAAGAAATCAGCTTTAATAATGAACTGATAAATATTATAAGAAACAGTTTTCATAACAGGAATTGAAAAGAATCTCTACAGCTTGTTTAACAGTGCTAAAAAGCACATGCCTAAGAATGGAGTGCAAAAAATCGAAAAACATCAGTGCCCTAGTGCAAAAAACCACTGAACACTGATCGTGGGTTCGCGCCTCGCAAATGGGCTGGACACGTAAAGTTTTTCACCCTGCGTTTCTTTATGCAGCGCTCGAGAAGCGCTTTACAGCGAACACACTGAAACTGGTTTCTAATTGGCCAACACTGCTCGTGACGTCATTCTGCTACACTCTCGCTGCATAAAGAAACGCGGGGTACGTTTTCTTCACATTTGTAACTCCTAAATAGATTCATTTCCCTTCGTAAGTATCCAGGAGGCATTCCCCTCGGCAGATCGCCCACGTGTCGCGTTGCCGTAATGAAAATACTGTAAACGAAACCAAATCAAGAATGGATCTCGAGATCAATTAGGATTACCACAACAAAATTACAAAAAAAATGCGAACACCTAAGAAATTTTGATAAAAATGTAATATAAATATTTAATCTTTACTAATTTTATGTTATAAATAAAACAAAAAAGAGAAGTCCTGCTTTTGTTTTTATCTTTTTTACAACTACAGAAATCCGCCCAGTTTTACGTTGAAAAGAAGCCATGTCTGGGAAACAGAGAAGGTATGGTAACCGTAGAGCAACAGAAAATAAAGAAAAATAGTAATCTGCAGTAACCGAGAAAGACCAAGTATAAACATTATACTGTAATTAACAATTAGGTTACAAGTTGAACTTGTAACCTAATTGTTAATTATTTTTAAATTTATTTTTTTTTTTGAATTGGCAACATAGCTGAAAATTGGCCGTAACATGATAATTTGCCAAATGCCCGCCAAATATTTATTTTGGCTGTTAGTGTATGAGTTAGTACATTTTTGTTTTGTTTAAATTTGTGCAAGTCGTCGCAAAAGTTCACAACTTAACTCACATCCAATTGTCCAATAATGAGCACGACCATCTTCGTCAAAAGTAAGGACATTGTTTAGCAGAGTTCTGTGGGATATACTAAAACAGCAGCCACATTCACTTGACACCAGTTCATGCAACTTTGACCTTTTTCCGGAAAAAAAAAGAATTTAAAGGCAAGCGCTTCGAGACATCTTTCTGTCTTTCTGTCTCATGTCTTTCTGTCAGCTTTCTGTCTCATGGCGGTCTCTTCAGATACTGGCTGAAAGTGACACGTTTCTCAGAAGTTTGGCAACGGGTTGCTCACGAAAGTGGAGATTACATCGAAAGACTGATTACTAAATGTTTATTTTATTTTAAAATTATTAAGTTACAACAACATTGTCACTGCATATGTAATGCACANTTTTTTATTTTGTACAAATAAAATAAATATATTGAAAAATATAAAAACAATAAAAAATTATACTTCAGAAGTTAATTTAGTATCAAAAACGTAAAATATTTGAGTAGCCCAAAACATAGCCAAAGATTGCAGCGCCACAGCACTGGCGAAAATTTAAATTTGCCGACTGGAAATCTTTCAGATAATCGACGCTCTACTGTATAACTATCGTTCAACAGTTTAAATTTCAATAAACATAAAATTGAAATTCGAATACTGATAAGAGAGAGGGAGGGCCGTCTCATGCACAAAACATAATGTGTCTTTTGTTAGCCATTTAGTTTGATTACAGACAATGGCATTGATAGAAAAGAAGTAGGATAATAAACCCGAGGCCTAAATATAGAAGTGTTCTGCAAGATTGTAAAATTTCTGTATTATTGTCTCATATTTTTAAATGAATAGTATATATTTTTCAAATCAAATCATTTATTATTACAGTATTTAGGAATTCTTGTTACAAGGGGAATTCTAAATAGAGTCACGACAAACATAAAGAAATCTATAAATTAGAATTTGACTCTGAAAATAAAAACTTTCCCTATTATATAAAGAGTGGCTATCAACTGTCAAATAGACCATATTGGTTTTGAGTTCTTCGCTAATCTTGCAGGGTAGTATATTTGGTGAAGAAATTATATAGTCGTACTATCAAAATATGATCCATTTAAAATAGAGTCCAGTGAAATTCCTCCTCCGATTTATAGTATGATAATATAGAAAATTCAAATTGTATTCTAAGCTTTTCACCGGCCGAACATGAACAAATCAGATGATAAACTGAAAATTGTTCTTGACATTTAATTTACACAAACTGTGTTTAATTTCCAAATAATACCTATCCACTATTACGTAAAAACAGTTTAATCTTAAATGCATGTAAAATATCTTAATCTTGTGTGGAATTTAGAAATTAATAAAACTGTTTGATGGAGGAAAACTTAAATTATTTGCATATCATGGATGATATTTTGAATTCGATAATCTATTCTTTTCTTGGTCCAATACACCATGAAACATGTTTTCTACATTACCCAACTTCACTGCCTGTAACCGGCGTTCTTCTTCTCCAATACGGAGGACTTTGCAAACGTTTTCGAACCTAATGTGGTTCTTCAGGCTCTATGGAATTTCCTATATGAATTCGGATTTCCAATTGGAAATCCGAATTCATATAGAAAAATTTCAACATGGGATAGGTTAATATATTTTTCGTATATAATCGGTTATCCGAAAAATAAGTTATCCGAACAACCCCAGTCCCCAATTGATTCGGATGAACGACGCTCTACTGTACTTCGATTTATGGGGAATTGGTGAATTCCCCATAAATGGAAGTACAAGTGGAGATTATAAATGCATAAATGGTTACAAGTGGAGATTATAAATCAAGAGAGAAGACAGGTAGAAGGGTAAAGGGAGTCATATAACGAGTGGACACAGATTTAATATTTTATTCGTTATTGGTCCGACTGAAACCGAAGTTTGCAGCCTAATCGGAAACTGAAATGGAATTTTACACTATTTTTGGTTAAGTTAAACTAATAAAAATTAACCAGCAACGAGTTGCTCAACTTTTCTCGCAACATTTAAAATTTTGGTGGGGCCATCTGTTATCATATTTTATTTTAAAAACTTCTTATATTTTTAACTATTATAAAACGGCAAAAAGGTTAATTTTGAGGGTAGGGATGAGTTTTATAAAAAAATTGCAAATGCTAATAACGAGTAAAATCATCACTGTCCGACCTTACTCGAGATATAACGCCCCACCCTCTCGACTTTTAACTATTAAAATTTATAGCATCAATCTCCTAGTATACAAACCTTTCTGCAAATTTTGAGTAATTTTCGACAAAAGACATGGGAGTTATTAATTAAGCTTCAAAGTAGGTGAACAAATTGTGCCCCCACACACTAACATCCATACTTACAGATAAAAAAAAACTTAATTTTTTCATTTCTCTACGTTTCAAGATCCCTTGAGTCCAAAATGTAAAAATCTTTGGGGCTGCATTTATTGACCAATCTCCATACTTTTCCAGGCGGGAAAATGTTAGGGAAATAACTAAAAAAAAAAAAAAACTATTTGCCTATTATAAACTATTGCTTTATCAAGTTCCGTAGTATTTCATAGTACTGTTCTGCACAGATGTAAAAAGCTTTTCACATCTTGACATAGTTCTACAAAATGTTTAGAGAAAAATGTGTTTTATTTAATCATTTCAGACTGAATATGAATTGGTCTTGAGTGTTTAATACAACGGTAAACATTCTAAAATAGATAAAGAAAAAAAAGGGGCGTATTCAGAGAAAGCTAAAGGGACAACTTCATAAACGAAGATTAGATTGAAATTTAGTTTAAGAAACAGGACGAAACTTGTTTCGTCCTGTTTCTTAAACTGATAATGAAAGATACTTTAAAAGTAATTTCGAATCCATAAATATAGTTCTTACACTGCACTGAACTACTGTATTTATTTTTATCTGTGCCGACCTATTTATGAGACGTATTGAAAACATTCGTGAAAAATTTTATCTCAATAAATTTATATTAGTGTAACAAGATATAAGAGAATTACGGCAATTAAATTAAACGATTAGAAAATAACATAGTGGTCTATGCAATGTCGAATTACATAGTTGTACTAACTTGTAAGTCATTTTTCTATCAGGTCCCGTCGAATTGCAGAATGATATATCCACAAGAAAAATGTCTATATATCGTTTAAATTAATTTTATTTGCTATCTTACGGCATGAAATAATGTAAAAAATAAATGCACTTTTTAATACAAATTTAACACAAATTTAATAATATTTTTTAGGAGAATTAGGTAATATTTTTCAGCAAAAAAAAATTTGAATTTTTTTTATTGCAATACGTACGGATGCGGAAATTAATAGAGAGGTTGCGGACGAAGTTTTGATCTCTAAAACATGAACGTCGAACGTTGAGCCTTACTTCTAGGCTTACAGGATGCGGCGCTCAATGTTCGACGTTCACGTTTTAGAGAGGAAAACGTCGGCCACAACTCTCAATATTTGTTATAACAGAAAAATTAGATGTTCGAATACCTAATTAACAAAATACTTTGATTTCGAACATGTTTTTAAAATTGTAGAGAAGCAGAAAGTAAGCTTTAAAATACATTTCTATTACATTTTAATTTATTTAGCCAAAAATTTAATTTAAGAGATTTCCCCCTTTAAAAACGCAAAATGACATTATATTACGAATTTTTTTAGTTTCACTTAGATTTTACAAATACGTGTGCCGGGCTGTGAACGGCTCGCGCATTTGTAAAATCTAAGTGACTCGTACAACATGGAATTCTTATAAAATGGAATTATCAACAGTGTTATAGGGGGGTCGACTGTACTATAAACGGTAATGTTCTGAACAATTGCAGACTTATTGATATATTTAAATGATAATGATGCAGCCGATATTGTTAGTATTGAATTATTTGATGAAGTAAAAGGTTTTAAAACCATATTGAAAGATGCCATCAGTAATGTTTTAAATATTTTAAAGGACAATAAATGATCAATGCCTTCCAAATCTTAAAGAAATTTTTAAAACAATACTAACCATTCCAGCGGATGTAATCGGTGAAGAACTTTTTTCTCGAAATAAAAAATTATAATACATTTTTTGAGATCGTTCATGATACAAGAGATTGCCGAATTAGCAATTATTAAACGGCAAACAATGTATCTTTTATCAACTTTTCCACCATACTATTAAAGATTTTTCTTTCAAAACTGCTCTTTGATTTATTTCAGTGGGAAATATTTGTAAAATTTTTGTATAAATAATTATAGTCAAGAAATTATTTATATAATAATTTATTATGTATGAAAAATAATATAATTTTGAGATTATCAATATAATACTTTTAAAAATCCGTAACTGTTCCGACTTCGGCTTTTATATAGGTAAAAGTTAAAATTTTTCTAAGAAAATAATTTATTTTAACTTCATAACGATAAAAAATATCTTAATTGGATTTTACATCGTAACAAGTTTTGCAGTAACTACTGCATAAACAGTAAATACACAAGATATATAAAACATAAATTCTATGTAACCAGTAAAATCCGAAACTGAAGTTCTGTTCTCTATACTTCTGGCCTCTGTCACATTCATTCCACAGAAATTATTCTTAACCAAGAGTCTCTTTTTAACCATTTTGTCAGAGAAGCTATTTCTCGATTTCTTTTTATTACTATCCTTTTGAATTTCCGTAAATTTTCTTTAACAATTTTCGCATCGGATTCGTTCAATTCATCGATGTGTTTGCGGAAAATGGATTCGAACTGAAAATTAAAATTACTGTATTACGATATACATAATAACAAAATATTAATATCCATATGAAATGGATATGGATATTTACAGATAAAATTTAGCCTATATAATTTATCATTCGACTGTTTGATATTTCACAATTTAATTATATAAATTTATCTTAATAAATGAGTTAATATAAAATCTTACTTGATTAAATATCAGTTCATTTTCTATATAAGTTTCGATCAAGTCCATGAAAGTTTTCACTCGATAGATACTGTAATATTTGATTAAAAGAGTTTTAATTAAATCAACTTTAAATTATTAATAAAATATTTATTATTGTTGTATAAATAAAACGGATTCACAATAAATTAATTCTTTACGATTTTATTTAAAATTTAATATACTTAACGTAAATAAAATTCATGTAAATGGAGGTATGTTCTAAATTTCTGTATAATTGATACAAAGGTTTTTGGTGTATTTTACTCATAAAATTGTGGTAAATACTAAATAAAATCTATGATATATACAGAAATAACTGTATATTGCATAAGAATTCATAGAAGGATGAATAACATTCAATATTTAAATGATTTATTTGCAAAATTACACGATAAATTATATTTCGGTTTAGAAGTACTAACTGTTTATAGATGAAATTTATTGAAAATTACTAAAGAATCACAATATATTTCAAAGACAATAGGAAATCTTTCAAATTTTTATCATTTGCCTTTAAGTTGAATTCAACAGGTGTATATAAGTACTTGATGCTATTACATTTTGGGGATTATAAGTCGAGGAGGAGACATGGAGGGGTAGGGAATCCTATCTCGAGTGAGGACAGACTATATAAAAATTTTATTTATTATTTACAATTTGTTAAAAAAATTCCACGTTTTCCAAAAATAAGGCTTTTGTCTTTTATAGACTATATAAAAGTTTTTACAAGGAGTCAAAGCGTTCTCTACATTATCTTTGAAAAAAAATAAGGATTTCCATTAAATTAGTTAAAATAGAAGAACAAATTAATTTCTTTATTAAAAGTAAAATCAATAGCGTATTACCAAATATGAATTGTTTATTAAACTTTATTTTATTCTATTTTATTTTTACTGTATTAAAGAGGCTTGAGAATAGTAATAAGGATGTCGAAAACATATACGTGTTAAGTATTTCTTTTGTAATTTTACAAACGTCTATGTTATTTTGTATATTAAATTAAAGTTAAAAGGCAAGAACAATATAGTATTATGCAATAAAGAAAAAAAATTAGAAAACTGAAGTACAACTTGTTCAAATTATTTACTTAAGAAACCTGAGAGCAATTTATTACCGACCTTCCTTTTTTTTCAACATTATTGGAGGATCATCTGAAGCTAACCGGTATTTTAGAAATCGTGCACTAAAAATATTTATATTACAATTACCTGTTACTGTAAGTGAGTAGAGCTTGTTTTGATCCGTATGTAACTATATTTTATGTTAAACTGATAAAAATTGCAAAATTCAAACATATTTTAATTACTCATTTTTACGTAAAGGTAACGTATTTATATATGTGTACATACATTTAAACATTAATACATTTAAAACTAGCTTATCTTGCATTTAAATTTTTGTTAAAATAGATAATAAGTTTATAATTAATGAATATCTATTATACATGAATAGTTACTCACTCCAATATTCTTTTAAAATGATTAGAGAAAAATTGAAGAAATTCTATCCACAGATTTTCGTTGTCAAAAATATTAAAGAGAAGTTTGTAAATAGTTATTACTTTTTCTTTTCTCAAAAATATACCGAACAATCTAAAATAATTAAAGAAACAAATCTTTTAGTTAAGAAAATACAAATAACTTAATAAGTAATTACAATTAACTTTTAAAACATAATCCAACAATGTGCATGTTGTTCAGAATTACCAAGATTTGTCCGTTGTTTAAAGGTCTCTGAAAATTTTTGAAAGAAAAAAATGAAAGTATATAATTGAAGATTGAACGACGCGGTACAGAATTATAATTTTAATGACAAAGGTTGTAAAATGGGAGCAATTTATTTTGGAAATTCTGAAAAACACAACTAATGCTATAAGTATCATCTTCATCAAATCAAATCTATTAAACAATGCTAATGATGGATCTTGATATGTACTGATTGACAATTGATAGAGAACGGCGATATTTTTTCCATGAAATGCCACTCAGTAGAACATAATTGGTTTAAATAACATATGATAGAAATTCGAAGATTATAATGTCAAGTTTCAGTGGATTAGTTCGGTTGTAAGCAAATATCAGTTACAGATGTCTGAATGGTATTATTTGAGTGCACATGATCATTGAGTGAGAAGTTGAACCTTGCCCGGCCGTAAGGTCAGGAAAAAGTCACTGAAGTTGAGAGAGAGATGAATGTGTCTGAAAGTATGAACTTTTGATCGAAAAAACTGTTGAGTTCCGAGGAACAGCCTTACCTATGTATGGTGATTGTAGGAAGGTAAACAACAACTCAAAAGGATCGGTTCGTAGCTCTTTTAGCAAAAAATAACAAAACTGTTATGTCTGCATAATAATCTAGGAAATGTTTACATAAGGTATGTAGTTATTTCTTGATTTGTGCCCACTACTTATTATGTCGAAAATTTCGCTGTACCCTAACAATTGTCAAGCAATGTATATTTCAAATTAAGAGTTTATAAACTGACTTTTACAATTAATGGATCATTTCCTTTAATTGTATACATTTTTTTAAATTGATAATTCACCTTTTAAATAATCCTCGATCTTTAGTACAAGGTAAAGGTATGAGAAATAATTCATTCTTTGTCACTAAATACAAATCATGAACATAATTCCAATCTTCTCTAGTGCCATATTTTATGATCGCACAAAAATTGAGTAATTCCGCTTCGGATCGTTTAATTCTGAAACATTTAAAAATAAATTATAAATAAATCATTTAATTGTAACAATAAATGAGATAACAAAACCATTTCATATTTTTTATTAATTGAAAAAACTGTCTTCCTTATGATTGAATAAGTGAAAAAAGGGGCTCTTATTTCACTTAATAGTTATAGCTCCATTTAAATCATTTAAAAATATAATTAGTTTCAATTTAGTTTATTAATTAGATACATTTCATATTTAAATATATTATGCTTCGTTCAAGCTACAGATATGCTGAAAATATTATTTATCAACAATTTAATCCATTTAAAATATAGATTTTAAAAATTTAAATTCTTAAATCCTCCTCATTAATGATAAAACTGTTAAAAATTAAATTAATAAAAATTTAATTAAACTGAATCATAATCTTTATCATTCTCTTTACATATAACATAATTGTGGTTGTTATGGCAACAAAAAATTAAAATTTTTATCGTTTTACTTATAAGTAATTATACATTATCAATTATAATTAATGATTTAAATGTATACGAGTATACATCTACGGTGGTCAAACTGTGGCTCGCAAACCGCTTGCGGCTCTTCTAAACCCTTATAGAGACTTCTTCCACATACTTATGCAAATTCTGCATGTAAGAAATATGTATCAAGTTTATAAAAAGAAATTCGGACCAGGGCTGTAGAGTCGAAGTCGTGGAGTTTTGGTGTTTTAGCCGGAGTCAGAGTCATCAAAAAATTCGCCGACTCCGACTCCTTTTTACTTCCCAAATTGTTATGTATATAAAACGGAAAAGTATTGGAATCGTGTCAAATTTGACCTTCCAAGTTTTTTGCAAATCTACACGTTTGGAGACCTCCCGAACCACCCCAAAAAGTCAATAAAAGGGGAAAAATTCGCGCGCGCGTGTGCGTTGGCGTCTAATTTGTTTAATTTCATTATTTTCTGTTCTGAAATATTAAACAATATATCAGAATGGGTAAAGTTTAAGAAACGAAATGTGGCACTGTAGCTTTCGTATAAAGGGGCATTAATACTATTAAATTTTGGTTCTTAATTAAAGGTCGACAGGGTGAAGACATAAAAGGGGTTGTGTCATATCTCTTAATGAATATTTTACTCGCTTAATATTAGCGTTCAAAATTTAAATAAAATAATAAAATTCGTCTCTACCCTCAATGATAAGTAAGCAAGCTTTTTGTCATTTTGTAATAGTATAGTAAAACTCGTTAAGATCTTCTCGCCTAAGATGTCAAAATGTGTATGGTGACACGATTTAGTTCAATCACTTTGACGCTTAATAACTAACCCCTGTGTTAAACCACCATAAAAACCACAGAAATTATTAGGTTTCAAACAGGATGAACAAAATTATGCCTCACACACACAGTCTAACATCCACACATATAGAAAAAAATCTCGAATCTTTTGCATATCTCAAAATTTCAAGGTGTCCTGAGTCCAAAAATGTAAAAATTTGGGAGGAAATTTTTTACCGAGCGCTACACTTTCCCTCTGTTATATATAACAGCTGGAAAAGCAAAAATTATCGAATACATATTTATAGATTGACTGTTCATTATTTAGAGGAGTCTTTTATCTTCGGAATAAAAAGTTTTTATCTTTATTAGAACTCTATTTATTGAATCTTTTACTCTAAGGTCACTTGATGACATCAGAATTTCTAGGTAATTTTTGGTAACAAGTCCGCCCCTGGTTGGAGTTGGAGTCGGAGTCGGACTCGGTAGATTTTTACGTGACTCCATAGCCCTGGAAATTCCACATACTTATGCAATTTCTTTTTATAAACTTGGTACATATTTCTTACATATGCAAGTTATTGAAAATTATTATAAAATTGCACGACTTTTAAGTTCTTACGCTAAAATTTGTGTGTGGGTCTCTTGAATGTATATAAAGAATTACATAAATTCATGAAATCTACACATAATAAAGTACTGTATATTGTTTGATGCATAACCAATTTCAGTATATATTCAAATATATATAATATAGACAATAATATATATATAAACATTATAATAATAACAATTATTTTTTGTATTAGTATGTTTACACTTTATTCGTTTTCTAAAAACTCGAATTAAAAAGACAATGCGCGCGTAATTCCAAAACTTTTGTTATTTATCACAGTTTTTAATTACACAATTTGAACAAAACTAGTTTAAATTTTCTGTATATTTGTTGTTTAATCTTGCATGTAATAAATGAAATTATATTTAGTTTGGATTTAAATCTGTTAAATCTACATCCCCATAATTCTAAAAGTATTTAGAGAATTATTATAAATATTAGATTAAAATTAGTCTTTTTTTTTGGAATTACATTTTACATTTTATATAGGAAACTTTTATTATTTCGTGTAATATTTTTAATATAGAAAATAATTAAATACTTAGTCGTATCGTTTTTCCATTTTGTAAATAAGTCTCTTGTATTAATCAAGCAATCTTCGTAACCATTTTCACATAAATAATTGAAGACCACATATCGTAAAGACCTGCGTTGAAAGTATTCAATTATAGATTTTATTTTAAATATTTATCAAAAATATACATATATAAAACATATTCAAACAACCTTTATAATTAACAGCTTAAAATGAAATACATCTAGCGAATTTTTGTGATCTGTTAACTGTGTGAAGGCCGTTGATATGGTGTATTATGCAGAATTAATAAACATTATTATTATTATTTTCTATTAGTTGCATGTCGGAATGATAAACATTCTAAAGTAGGAGCAATTTTTCAGGATAATTAAACAATTCAAAATTATTATATTTCTATAATGTTGAATAATGTTGTATGTTATAATATATTACAACAATATTAAAATATAAGTAAAGTTATCTCATTTTCTATATTTGTTAAAACTCTGTTCACTGAATGGGTACAAAGAGACAAATATAAAGAAAGAATTTGCACTGATGTGAAACTAAATCTGTTATAAAAAATTTTATGTAATACTGTATTTATAAAAACATATAAATAATATAAATATTAAACTTTTATCATTTAAAACTATATATATATATATATATATATATAGTTTTAAATGATAAAAGTTTAATATTTATATTATTTATATGTTTTTATAAATACAGTATTACATAAAATTTTTTATAACAGATTTAGTTTCACATCAGTGCAAATTCTTTCTTTATATTTGTCTCTTTGTACCCATTCAGTGAACAGAGTTTTAACAAATATAGAAAATGAGATAACTTTACTTATATTTTAATATTGTTGTAATATATTATAACATACAACATTATTCAACATTATAGAAATATAATAATTTTGAATTGTTTAATTATCCTGAAAAATTGCTCCTACTTTAGAATGTTTATCATTCCGACATGCAACTAATAGAAAATAATAATAATAATGTTTATTAATTCTGCATAATACACCATATCAACGGCCTTCACACAGTTAACAGATCACAAAAATTCGCTAGATGTATTTCATTTTAAGCTGTTAATTATAAAGGTTGTTTGAATATGTTTTATATATGTATATTTTTGATAAATATTTAAAATAAAATCTATAATTGAATACTTTCAACGCAGGTCTTTACGATATGTGGTCTTCAATTATTTATGTGAAAATGGTTACGAAGATTGCTTGATTAATACAAGAGACTTATTTACAAAATGGAAAAACGATACGACTAAGTATTTAATTATTTTCTATATTAAAAATATTACACGAAATAATAAAAGTTTCCTATATAAAATGTAAAATGTAATTCCAAAAAAAAAGACTAATTTTAATCTAATATTTATAATAATTCTCTAAATACTTTTAGAANTTCAAATATTATAATAATATTATTATGTTAGCAATACTATTAATGTATTAATTTAACAAGTAAACGATGTTTTTCCTAAATTACAAAACACAAACTTTAACTTAATCATTTTCTTTAAATGGTACAACTTACTTTCCATTTCTTTTCTTCGGTCATGTGATGCATTACGTAAGAAAATTCCATTAAAGGTGTGAACGTTTCCTGTTTTAACACCACTAATTCCGTTTCCGAAGGTATATATAGATAGAAATCTAACAGAGTTGCAAATTCGATATAATCTAATCTGAAATATTAAATTTATACCAAATTTATAAAAAACGTGCTTTTACTTTACTATCACAAATCATTAACTTAGAATAAAAACAACAATATTAACAGATAGTTTAAAATAAATAAATTAAATTGAAAAATAGGTCAATATATTAAAATTTCATTTTAATTTCGAAGACAAATTGAAATTTTATATTATTAAAGGTATTCTGAAGACAAAATGAAATTTTAATTTAGATATGTGAAGTAGGCACAATCACATCAAAATCAAGCACAAGGTTCTAAATAACTTCCGATTATTCGGTCAAGTAGTTTAATTTTTTATCACATTACATATTCTACTTGAATACTACTAATTTAATTTGATCAAAAATTATTTCAGCAGTTTTTAACGTCAAAATTGAAACCATCGGAGAAAGCTCTTGTTTCAATGGCAATGGGAAATTTAGCTGCCTTATAGCTCTTTCTTAGAAACACAAAATAATGATAGTATTGTAACTTTGTAGAAGTAATTATTAAATTGTTTACAAGAAAGACTTATGATATTCATAATGTAGAATCTAGTAAATTGTGTTCGATTGCTATCGTTTTAAATCCTTGTTATAAACTAACATTTTTAAAACCCAACATTACATGTTATTGCTAAAATTTTGGTTACATTCAATATTTGATAATGAAGTAAAGAATGAAAAGAAATCAATAAAGCTTGCATAAGAAAAATAAAGACGATAAAGTTCAAGATATGTTATCTTGTTTAGACGAAATTATGTTGGAAGAAATGAAGGCAAATAGGAAGAGTTTCGGAATGAGGTTAATATGACTTATTCTAAAGAAAAATTACAGCTTGAAAATTTTCTTAAAATGCTAATTTCTCTTCGTGAATGTTGAGAAACGATGCTGTTGTCTATAAACAAACAAAATTGGTTAGACAATAAAGTAACTGCTTATTTGTCTGCATCTTCAAGCATCATATCTATTGAAAACTTGAGCGATTTTATAAGGTGAGAACCGTATATAAAGACCGGATGAACAAATTTCTTCCTAAAAAAACAGAAAAACTATTGTTTCTTAATCGTATTACCTATCATTGCATTCATCATTACATTTGAAATTCATTTACAGTATAAAATTAAAACTTTTGTTTTCTTCATTTAAACTGATCTTTTTAAATTGATTTAATAAAAATAAATTGATAGAATAGAGAACCTCTAAGTAAAAATACACTGAGTGTGGCGTTAACAGATTTTATTTTAGCTAGCACTTTCAAGGAACTTTAAATATATCTTTTAAATATAACTTATATTCTTCATCTTATTCTTCGACATTCTTCAAAATTTAAAACAGAAGAAAATATTGTGTTCTATTTAAAATTTTGTTCGCCCGAAGATAAAGAATATATTCTCCTTGAAAGCGCTAGAGAACCTCTAACTTAATAGTTCTTAAACTGGGATGTATTTGTAGTGTTTCAAAGTGCGAGACTTTGAAACACTGTTGTTTAAAAAATATAAGAAATATACATTGTTTAAAACCCTAAAGATACTCTATAGGCCTAATATACATGAAAAAATGGGATGTTCTACTCTTTTAAATAAAAATTAACAAAATATTTTTGATCAGGACGCGAAGACACTCCCATTAAAAATTCAAAAGATTTGGGCAGCAGAAAGATTAAAAGTTGTGCTTTTAAACGGTCGTTTGGTATGTATAATTAATTAGTAATGAAGGGAATAAATTTAGGGTGAAAAAAGGTGCTAAAAATGACATAAAAGATGTTAGGAAAGATACAGGTTTATTTATTCACTTTAAAAAATAGTATCCGTCGCAAATCTCAAACCTCATAATTGTTCCATTGTAGCTACTGTATATGATCCTATGAGTATGAGTATTTTTTCAATATCCATTAATTTACCATTTGTCAATTTGGATTTATGCATTTTGCAAACTTATTTTCCATACAAAAATAATTCTATTTAAAATTAAAAATTTAAATTGAAGATACAGTCTGTCGAGAAACGAATGATATTTTATGATATTCTATGGATATCCTTTTATTTTTAACGGACCTAGCACACAGTTTTAAGACATATTTTGGGCTTATAATAAGTCTGGCTGCTAAAAGTATAGCCGATATAAGCCAGATATATGGGTCCTCAATATGTTACTACAATCTTATAATCATCACAGAGCAAAATATTGGTTAGAATTCTTATATTATAATCATAGATTAAAGATAAACAAGTTATTTATAATAGAATGAAATTCTTCATAAATAATTTGTTTGTGTAAAATATAAAATATTTTATTCGAAAAGATTGGATGTAGATAGAATTAATCAATTCTTTTCTTTAAATTTAATGAAAGCAACTTGAATCTAATTCTTAATAGAATGTTAAATGTGGAATCAAAATCACTTTCAAAGGAGAAATTTCAGATAAAACCTTTGCAAACAGACAAATCTTAATAGTATAATTTTATGTAAGTACACAAAATATATTGTAATATAAAATATTTTATATTACAATATACAAATTACATATAAATATTAATTTTTCACTTACGTGTACAAAGTAACTGCATCATTTAATAATTTAAAACGGTTTGTCGGAGAAAATACCTAAAAGTTCAAGTTATTCATTAAAAGTTTTTCTTACATAATGTTATTTAAGTAGAATAATAAAAATTTTAATAAACTTACAATTTAAATATTAATTTCCTGAATTTGATAAGCATTAATATTTAAAATTAAAATTAATATTATTAATTGGATAAAATGAGAGAGATCATACAAATTATTATTGAAGTAATAATAAAATTACATCTGTTGATACACACACACACACAAATACACATTTAAAAATACTACAGTAATATGTGTTTATATATTTCAATTACATTAAATAGTAAATAGAACAATTACTTATTCTGTGCAGTACATAATTATTACTTACATTATGATTACTTTGAAGTTGTTTTGCTAAGAGTTTCCAATTTCTCTTGTCGTAATTGACAATATAGAAACCGATTGAATTTCCATTAACGAGGATCCATTTGTCTTTCTGTGGCATGTTTTTCAATATCTCTAACAAAAAGCAAAATTTTGTGCACTCAGCTTACTTGTATCAATACTGTATATGAATCTTTTCATCTAAATTTTTTATAATTACAATTACTAATGGCACGAAATGCCCTCTTAACGGTGTTTTGGAATTTTGTTTAAACTGATTAAAATATATTATTATTTAAATTACTTTTATTGAAATAATTGCATAAATTCAGAATTATTTTCTTTTATAATAATGTTTATATGAATAATTTATTTTACAAAAAAATATATATATATATTATTTGTACTTTAAAATTTGACTTACTGTTTCGATCTGTTAACCAATCAACTATTCTTGGATTCCATTCCGAATGATCTTGACTTATGTAAGAGATTGGAATTTGCCACAAATCTCTAAACAATAAATATAAAATTTTATTTAGTTCACAAAAATTGTTTAAGATAAAAATTAATTAAATATGTCAGATTGAAAAATTACTAATAAAATGTATGGTAATTAATTATTCGATTCAATCTGAAAATGATACAGTTAAATTGATATTACAAATAAAATAATAAAGTCAGAAAATAAAGTTTTGAATTCGAAAATCACAATTTTTCTGTGTTTAGCAATTTCATTTTGGTTATTTTAATTAATTAATAATTAAACCATTTATGATTAAATGATAAAAAAAAGTGTTCAGAATATTTTTAAAACATTTTCAAATAGAATATTTTACTACTACTGAATAATATTCTATTTGAAAATGTTTTTAAAATACTCTTATCACGTTTTTAATTACTTAATACGTTAAAGCACAAGCGAAAGAATGACAAATTATTTAAATTTTAATTTTAAATATTATTACATAATGCGATATACAAAATCATTTTATAATGTATTGTAATAACTATTTATTAAATGTTTTTAACTTATTTAGTATATGAAATAAATTAAAAACATCTTAATATTTTATTTTTAACATAAGGATAAATTTTAAGTTTGAAACATACTTTTTATATTTTTTATTTGCCTTTGATAGACACGAAATCTGACTGAATGAAGCAGTGTTTTCTTCGAAATTTCTAATGACAGAAACAATGGGTTGGCCTAGCAAATTGGTCCAAGAAGTCATTCTTTCCATTAAATCCTCTTTTGGATTCTTATAAGATGGCTGAGCCTTGAAAAGTTAACACAGATTTCATCTTATGCTATGAACGATTGCATTTATATTTAATTAATTAATTAAACATGTTCATATTGCATTCTAATTATAGATATTTGTAACATTGAAAGGCGTGTGATACATACAAGAAATACATATAAAATTTTATACCATTGAAAGATATTCCCATAATGTCTTCTCTTCGACGTTATTATAAGCATTTCCTTTCAGATAGCTCTGAAAAGATATTTCTTTACATTAAAATCCTATATTTTATAGTAAATTTTAAAAAATCAACATACACACTTTAGAGCAGCGATTCCCAACCTGTGGTACGCGTACCCCTAGGGGTACGCGATAGGTTGTTTAGGGGTACAGAAAAAAGTTAGTTATTATGGCAGAAAAAATAATATATTATGTATCACAAACTAATAGTATTAAAAAATTATTAGATAAAAAATGTTCCTTGCAACAATCACAACTTTATTATACATTTTTTCTTTTAGTTTTTTTTTCTTTAATTTAAAGTTACAATATGTAAAATTAACAATACGGTTACTCACTAAATTTCTTAAATGAGGGGTACAATCTAGAGATATGACATGTCACGGGGTACAATCTAGAGATATGACATGTCACGGGGTACAATCTAGAGATATGACATGTCACGGGGTACAATCTAGACATATGGCATGTCACGGGGTACGCTAATGAAAAAAGGTTGGGAACCACTGCTTTAGAGTATTTACTCAGTTTTGTATCTTAACTTTAAACTGTAAGATAATCTTTGAAATATATTTATGTTGAATTCTTATGAATAAAATTAATATATGAACACTGTATTTATAAAAATATGAATAAAATTATTATTTGGGTAAGATACATTTACGAGTTGTGTTCAAAGCTTCTTGTCCTTTTCAACTGTAGACTACTTCTTAAATCTCACAATTCGACAAATGTAGAATTTATTATACAGGATATGTGTTTAAAAGAGTATGGCAAAATTAATCACTTTGAATTGTTTTAGAATGCATTTCGGGTCTAAACCTGTTTTTAGCCGTTGACAATACCTTAAAACAGGAGTCAGATTTATACTAATTTTAAGCGATTTTATTTACTGGATTTTTGAATTTTGAAAAGGTTTCTAAACTCTGGAATATGGACTCCCTCCTAGTAAATTTGTTTTGGTTTTATCTTTATTAGTTTAAAAAATATTTATATCATATTTAGTACTCAGCATATAATTGCATATGCCTTTTATTAATAAATACTAAACTAAAAGTATATTTTCCTTGTGACTTTACTCAAGACCAATTTTTTAAAGCATTGTCAACAGCTTAAGAGGGGTTTAGATCCGAAATGCATTCTAAAATGACAATTCAAAGTGATTAATTTTGCCATGCGCTTTTAAACACATATCCTGAATGATAAGTCCTATATTTGTCGAGTTGTAAGATTTAAGAAATACATTTACAACCTGAATTATCATTAGCAGATTTAAGAGATTTTACTAATTTTATTGTAGATGAACGTTGTAAGTACAATATTGAATTAAAAATATTAAATGATCGAATTTTACATTTTATTAACGAGAAAGTATTCGAAAAATCCCTCCGCAGTGGTAGTGTGGAAAGATTTTCGAATTAAACCATTTACATGAGGTTATGGGATAGCTGAACATACACAATTCTTCTTTGTTACAAGTATTGATATGCAAGTATTGCTCGAAACCAATGAACTAACCGAAAAGGGCGACCACGATCTACATTACCCACTGCGGAGAAAAGTTTTGAACACCCTATTTGTTATGAATTAAACTTAAATTGTAGATATAAATTTTAAATATTCTTACAGTTACTCCTTTCCAAAATGATTCGTTTCCGATAATATGATGCGCCATACGTATTATCATTGCTCCCTGGAAGACAGTAATGAATGTATTTACTTCAAGAATTTACAGAAAAATAAATTTTTAAAAATATTTTAATTAGTAAACTAAAGAGAAAAGCTAAATCCATTCAAAACATTCAAAGAATGATACTGTTTCAGTGAAATCTATATATAGTCTATATATAAATGAGGATGTTTGTTTGTTTATTCACTATGCACTCCTATGCGTTCGACCAATTGCTACGAAACTCGGCAGCTACGTTCAAATACTTCCAACTTAGAGAATGTCGTAATCCCACCCCAAAATATCGATTAATTTCTGTCTACATTTGATTACTGGCTTTACATGTATCTCCATCTATTAGGAAAAATATAACAAAATAATTAACTAAATATACTTCATACAAAAAAGAATATAATTTTAAAATATATATATTATATTCACTGAATTACTGAGACAATGATATAGCGTGAAATAGATGCGCCGTAAGGCCATTACAGCGACAGGTAGCACATAGCACTTTCCAGCGTTGAGTAGTGTTTTGCCTCTGTACAGTACTGTCAAATCTGCTTCAGCTATGTTTATGTCACAACTTTCAAAAGTTTCCTTTACTGAGATGTTTTTACTGAGCTTTACTTTTTCAACGCGGTTTCACTATTTTTTATTTTTTTACGGAATCACATAGAAGCAATTATTCTCGCATTTTTACAAGATTTTTTTTATTTAAACAAGTCTTATATCAAGTCTTTTCGGACGTTAGGGTTAGCAACTTCGATCACATGCGGAGCCATTACAATCTATCCAACACAGATCACTTTTCAAATACTAATATTAGATTAGTATTAATTAGTAGTCGTTAACCATTCTCTCTCTCAGAAGGAGGACAACTACTACTTTTAGTCGAGTTAACTTTAACTTCCAGTAGTCTGCAACAGTCCCTTCTTCATCTCGGACACACTGGTATGGTAGCATTCGAAAAGGAAAATTACATAATACGAGGTTACCAGCATGCACAAAACATGATTGTTCGAGGGTGCCGAATTTAAATATTTGGTCCATTTTTCGCGAAATTTGATTCGTTGGCAGATTACTATTTGATATTCGGCTCTGAATGAAATGATTTGTTAGTGCTAACATTAGAAAAAAATATCTTAATTTTTTTAAGCTATCGTACTTTCAATTGGTGTCTACTTGATCAATGAAACTGTGCCATTTCGTACCATCTGAGTATGGCGATAAACATGACAAGAATCTTCGTCCATTTAGAAAATTAAGAATAAAAAACTTCATTGTTGATATCAGCATTTACTGTAATATGGATTTATAATTATTTTAACATTTGATAAAAATACACACAATGTACAGTACGTACGATAAGATTTATAAAATTACATTTCTTAAAAATTCTACATTATAGTAAATTCTTTCTAATATGACAAACTTTGCACAATAAGAAACGTTATTATTTAATATACGAAGTCTAAAACTTGAAGATCATCTTATTCTTTACGCTTAATATTAATACATAGTAAAGTTTTAAAAAGTAAGTGAAATTATTTTCAGTCTTATAATAAAATTTAATAAGAAATTTAGTAAACAGTGCTTAGAATATTCGAAAAATTGTAATGTGTGTTTGTTTCTCATTTAATTTTAAAGAATTCATCTGAATTATGTAGTTACTGAAGTGATTTATTAAGAAATATAAATTTAATTTCAAATTATAATTTTGATGAAATTCATAAAGGAATAAATTAGTTCTGTAAATTCAGATATTAAAAAATATAAAATTATTTCAGCTTAGGAATCTCTACGGAATTTTACAACTTGTCTTAATGACAATCAAGAGGGTTGACTATAAATTTTATTATTTGGAAAATACTAAACTTATAATTAAAAATTATCTATAACATAGAATTTGCAAGTTTAAAGAAGTCTCTAAGGATGAAATATATTTTGAAAACTTCTAGTCACTTTTATATCTCATAAAAATTATTTTTTGATAATTTTTAGAACTTACATACTACATTAAATCTTTAGTATGTAAGTAGACTTTATCGGTAGCAGTGGCGTGCCGTGACATTTGATGATAGGGAAGCTGCGTTTCTGTAAAAAGCCGACTTCCAGGGGCAATCAGTCAGTGATGGTCTAGGGTCCATTCATATTCGTTTGTTCGATAAGCCAGTAAAAACCGTAGACTTCTCTAAATATATTTTTAATTAATAGATTATCTAACGCACTTAATAAATAAGCAAGTTCAATATAATTACCTCTGTTATATTAGATTCAATAGATTCCCTATGCCCTCTAAATGCCAATTTTTGTTTCGATAACATCTACTAATTTAGATATAATATCTATTAGCCGTAACTTTGTTATAATTTTCAATATTTATTTTATATTGTGTACTAATGTTAAATTCTATTCTATTTTGATTTCCAAATTGCTTCAATTTTACGAAAGAATCTATGTGAGATTTACGATTTTCGTGTCTTTTGCCAGTTTTACTCAAATTATTTAAATCGTCAAAGCCGCTTCCAATGACGGCACGCCACTGATCGATAGGCTATATGGAAATTTAGATCGATTTTTTTAAAATGAATTTTTAAGTTATGTATTCCAATTAACCACTCGGCAGTGACTGACGAATTCAAGAGCGATCGTGTGGCACTGGTGACCTACGGCTAGTTTTTGGCGATCTACGTGTGGCACTGGTAGACCTACTAGCTATCGTGTGCCACTGGTGACCTACGGATAGTTTTTGGCGATATCCGCAAAAGAATTTTGCGGATATCGCCAAAAACTAGCCAAAAACTATCGCGAAAAAAATTCACATAAAAAAGGAATTATGTAACAATAAAAAAAGACTTTTCTTTACTAGACATAACTGTTTACAAAATCTTTTTCCGAAACGGTAATGAGAAAAAACGCGTGGGAAAATACTTTAAAAATTTTAAAACTTACTTTCCATTTTAAATAACGTATATTTTAATTTCAAAAATTCAGAAATAAAACGCAATTATTAACAAACATTTCTGAAAACCAATAATTAAAAATTATACAATAATACATATTATAGAATATCAAACAGGACTACTTTTTCTGTTTTAGAAAAGCCCGAAATTCTACTACAAGTGTGAAAATAAAGGAACTTTTTACAAAATATTTAAAACAAGAGAATTAGAAATATGAAATAAGAAAATACTTTTGGTCATATACAAAACATGATTTAAGTGATTTTCGATGGTGCCGAATTTAAATATTTGGTCCATTTTTTGCGAAATTTGATTCGTTGGCAGATTACTATTTGATATTTGGCTGTGAATGAAACGATTTGTTAGTGCTAACATTGGGAAAAAATGTTAAGATAAAATACATTACATTAGAAAAAAAAATATTACATTAAAAACGATACATAAAAAAATGATAAGTTAAGAGTTATAATCCCCTTATATTTTACTGGCAAAGAATGCCTAGTGTTGCCTGGAAACTCGGAAAGAGGATTGAGTTGTCCTCGTATCGTGTAAGGTATCGTATGTGACAGAGAGTAACAATGCAAAATTTGGTCGAAGGTTTGGCAATTTGTGGGAGATGAAATCAGAAGTGAGAGGTCCGAGTTTTATGATAATCTATGTTTCCCATGGGGTACCCGAAACTGAATAGATAAGATAATAACTTTTAAAAAGTCCATCAGATGGTAAAGGGAATTGATCTTGAACTAAGCAAACAAATGACGATAGAACGATAAGAGACAAATTCCGCGATAAAAACATGTTTTTCGTGCATTTTTCCTGTTTTTAATATGAAAATAATACATAGCCTATGTTCATTTGGAAGGAAAAAGCTTTCCAGTAGCAAAAGAATTTTAGAAATCAGTTCATTTTAGTTAGAAATCAGTTAGAAATCAGCGATTACTTCCAGCAAACAAACAAAAGAACATTCTCGCTTTATACAGAGTGAACCAAACGTAGGTGGACAGTAAATGATAACATTTATTGAAATTACATATACATATAAATTTAGAGATTACATATACAATTATATTTACTAATACAATACAATTTTATCAACGCAGGTGCTCAGACTACTGTCCATCGCAATTTACATAGCTTTGAAGTCTACATTTCACCATTTCACGCTTCGACAAACATTTTTGCACAAGTATCTTCATGTATTAATTTCTTAAAATGCATCTCTGATGTAATTTTTTAACCTAATCATAATTAAGTTAAATATACATCATCGTTATAGTATAATGCTAATATAAACCCTATTCCACCTACTATCTGCCTACTTTTGGTTCACCCCGTATATTAGTATAGAAGATATAGATAAACATTTCTATATACACTATTGAAATTACCTTATCATAAATATTGCTGTTGAAGAAGTAATCTCGAGTATTAACGTCTTGGAATGTCTTTATTTGCAATGCAACTCTTCCTTCATATTTACCTTTCGGTTCTTTTTCGCAATGTTTTGTGATGGTTTGAATACCGTTTGCATTGAATACTGTTTTATCCACCTGTAAAACAATTGTTTAAACATTTAAAATAAACATTTAGAATGACTTAAAATAAATAATAAATTACCAAAAATGACCTAATTAATCTATTTTCTATTACTCTATTAAATGAAATAAAGTGACTACTTAAAATAGATTCAGGCTGTTTATTTTTTACTTTATTTAGAGAAATATCGATTATGTTGTGTTTTACCTCATTTTTCAACGTTTAATTCAAAATTTAGATAAGTTTTGTTTTAAAAATAATGTTTTTATATTCAAAACCATTTATGATATATAACCTATAAAAATAGTATATATTTAGTTTAAGTAATAACGTTTCTCTTATTTAATTCAATTTGGAAATATTATTTAATTAATTAATTAAAGAATTTTGAAAAACTTTCCGCAATCGGAAATCTTTTATATAAAATTACAGGAAATAAACTGAATTTGATTTATAGTTAAAATGAATAGTTAAATTATATTTGGATTTAACTAACTAAGTTAAAATTTTATTTAAGAATTGAATTTATCTAGAATATTTTATTTCAACGTTCATACGTCAGGATTAAAATTTATCTATATTTCAAAGGATTAAGAAGTTTCAAGTTGTAAGGACAGAATTTTACGACTTGAAACGTCTCTTAAAAAACTTTTTGAAGATCTTTTTAATATTTTTATATTAATTTTATCGAATATAAGTTTATAAGTAAGTAAAAAAAAAATTATCTGAAATTTTAGGTTAAATTCTAATTAAATACAAATTCTGTAGAGAAAACCTTCATAGTTTTGTTGAACGTATTTCAAGTAAAAAACAGATTATTTGAGTATGAAGNATAGCAGGAGTCTAGACCAGGGGTGGCCAACATGAGGCCCGCGGGCCGCATGCGGCCCGCCGGGAGTCGTGTTGCGGCCCGCGGAGCTAGGTCAAATGAACATAAATGTTAACTTTATTGTACGTAGTTGTAACTTTAGCAAATTGCACTGAAAAAGGCTAACTGAATGATATAATTTATTAAAATAAATATAAATTTTAAAAGAACAACATTTAAAAAATAAGGCAAAAAGTAAACACTGAAATTACGAAATAAGGTTTATATTTTCTTCATTTTAACTGAGCATGTACACAATTTAGGTCATTACACAGATGTTACATTAGTTTGACAGGAGTTTTAGGTCGTAATTATGCAAGGATTACATAAAATATGTCACAAATCTGAAATATTTTGTAAGCTAAGACACGAGGCAATCATTATAAAATTTATTTCATATTTCAAATATGATGATAAAAATTTGATTTAATGATCTAACATAAATGAAAATTTGCTTTGTTAATTTTAAGTTTTATGTAAACTTGTATAATTTTTAAATTACATTTTAGCAAGAAAAAATAGATTTAGGCCTATATTAAATTACGGTTTAATTCATCTTATAAAAGTATTTATTTTAAATTATATAAATTACTAGAAAATAATTAAACCTGATATAAATAAAAATATATAAATTTGGTAATGATAATAAATAACTAGAAATATTTATGGTTAAGCTTATTAATTTTTAAAGTAGCCTACTTTAAAACATATTATAAAATTATTTACAAAGTTTTCTATACATTTTTAGCATTAAAAATTAATTATTGTAAAAAGACTCTACCTTATTCCATTGAGGAAAGAAACTCGTGGATGCAATATGTTCCATGTAAGTAGCGAATCCTTCGCTTAACCAGATATGACTCCACCATTTTGGCGTAACCAAATTTCCGAACCACTAATTAAATTTAGTGTTAAATAAATTATAAATTATTTAACAAAATATTTAAAAATTTAATACGATGTTAATTTTCTACATTATAAATAACTAAATTTCTAAAAAAAATTTCTCTCTTAAGTAAAATATATTGATGTATACAATGTATGTTTGAGTGTAGAATACATGTGATATTTTATTATCGTATTAATTAATTAATTAATCAATATTCAATAAAAATTTTATAAATTTTAATCCTAAAACTTTCATTTTTTCAATTAAATGATATAGGTTAAAGATTAAGAAATGTCAGATTATTGAAATTAAAAAATTAACCTAATTCCTAATTTAAGAGATAATAGGTTAAGATATGCTAAGATTTACGTGTTATGTTATTCTCTGCTCCGAATATAACCACGCAAATATAAAAGAACAGAAAATTCTAATCAGGTTGGGAACACGAGAGATTCTTTTTAATTATGTTGATATCCTTTTACGTTTCCTTTTAGGAAACGTAAAAGGATATCAGTCTTCATCTTACTTACTTTGTGTTTCATAAATTAAGGAGGATGAAGGCTAATTGATATTTGAGGAAAGATAGGTCACAACATTAATAAATACAAACGAATGACTTATTAAATATTTTTTGACGGCAAGATAATTTTATTTTGGAGTCAAAAATAAAGAAATTTTTAAATAATTAATGTTACAGTCCTTACTAATTAATAGTTATATATATAGCTAGTAATATTTTAAATTATTACTAGCTTAATAATATTCCCGTATCTTCAAATTTTTTAAATGTCGCATAAACTAAATTATGCATTAGAGGTTTTAAGGTTAAAATATTAAAAATATTCTTAATAAACATTAAGTTAATTTATGTATTAAGATGAAGAATGACTTAATGGAAGTGAGAAAAATTAATAAACACATTTTACTATAATATATTATATAATATTGTTCTTATTTATATAATAAATATTTGAATATATTCATTATAAATTATATAAAATGCTTAATAATTAATTATTACATTTATAATTATTTGGATATTGAATAATAATTGGAATTAAATTTTGCTTAACTTAGCGTTTTATAACAATAAATTACTTCTAAACATTCAAATAAAAAACATTTGTTAGATATGGTTTACGAACGTCACAAATGAACATTTGTTTTATATAGTTTCATGCATATCATCTAAAGAAATAGAACCATTTGTATATTAAAACTGTCTTGAGTGCATTTGTCGTATAATAATATAAAATTAGCAACAGCTTGTGGTAAGTTGGTAAAAATATAACTTCTTGTTTATTCTACGATATCCTTCATTCTCTTCAAAACATAGCTTATTAAAGTATTTTGTAACACGTATTGCTAAATGTATAAGTACAATCTAGTTAATAAAAGTTCTGAAAAGATAAGTTGTATCGGTTTGACCCCGCCTTTTTTATTACTTTGTTGATTTTATTCCTTGAAATAATAAATTAATTCTTGCAATAAAAGAATTCTAAAATTCTTGAAACAAAATTTAATAGATGTTATACATTGGTAATCTTTAGATTTTGGCAATAGAAAATATACAACAGATTCAAGTTCTAAATTAATGAGGAAGCATTTTTTAAGCAGCCAAACACGTGATAGACATTTTCTATAAAGGTCTTTCACGTGTTTCACATTACAGAAGAAAACTTTATTTATGAATAAAACATTAGATTTTGAAACACGTTTTTCACTATTTCTGCATGAAAAATCTCTGTTTAGGGGTCACATGAGAGGTTGCTACTGAAAAAAGTAGCATCAGCCAACTTCACTTGATAGTAAACAAGCGGATAAAATAAATCTGTTGGGATATAATGAATGTTTCATTTACATGAAATATTTATTTTAAGGTTATTATAAAATCTTTATTTTTTATTTTACATTTCTATGTCAAGATTAATTAGAATATTTTATTATTGTAGTCCATATAATTTTATTGCATTTTAAAATACTTATAAAGAAGTGATAAAATGGAAAAACTGTTAGTCATAAAAGTTTTAATCCCAGGTGGAAGTAATAATCTTGCGAAATATTAAGTTCACGTGCTTAAAAAAAAACATATTTAATGGTTCATATAGTAAATTTATGTGTTTACAAGCAAATAAATTTTTGGAATTTTCCATAATCTTTTTATTAAATGCAAATACAATTGAGAATAATGCTTTATTTTAATTATCTTTAATCCTCTAATGTCGTTTATTTGTAACCTAGATTTTATACTTTTGTTTTTGTCATAATACATACGAAAAATAATTATTCTAAAATTTATTTAACACACTGACGTTTCAATTAAACTATTACAGTTGAACCTGTCTATCTCGAATCCCACAGGAACGAGAAAAAATTCGAGATAAACAGGTTTCGAGGTATACAGGTTCCTACACAGTAAACGGTAATAGGTTTGATTGGAGGTGCGGTATTTTATTAATACAGTAGCAAGTACAGTACATACCTGTATTAGGTATTAATAGAAGATGTTTGACATATCTTAACAGAAATAGTTTGGTAATAGTTTATGATGTCTAATTTTATTCAACCAATAAGACACAAGCCAAACTCGTAGCCAATCAGAGAAAATCAGAGTTAATTGCAACTTATACTGTATTACAAGAGACATTTCTCAAGTACAATTTATGCTATAAAAGTAGAGTTACTGGGCTTTGAGATTGTAATTGACACTTCAGTCCGTATATTGAGATACAGAGGTTTTGAGAAATAATTGAGATAAACATGGAAAATATATTGAATTTATACTGAAAATGCAGGGGGAAAAATAAATATCAAGATAAACATGTTTGAGGTAGACAGGTTTAACTGTGTACCGTATTACAGGTAACCCCCGTATAACACGGCACTTCTATAGCACGGATTCACTCTGACACGGTTCGAGAATTGGGTAAAACCCTCGTACGACATGAAATGTAATAAATTTTTACTTACTTAAGTAATAATAGTTCACGAAAATAATAATTTTCGTGAACTATTAGTACTTAAGTATGTAAATTTTCTCTTCTCGCCTTCTGTCGATACACGTGGTCCTTCTCGAAACTTGTTTCAATGTTGCCAGATCGCGACGCTTCTGCTTCTGATGTTGCCGAATGTTTTTCCCTTATTCCATACTTGCTTTATTCTTCATAAGTGCTTAGCACCATATAAGGAAATTTATAAAGACCTTTTAACTAGAAGCAAGCAATCTAAAATTACATACATTTTGCAAAAGGTAAAGCATGGATCTGAAGATAATGCAGAAAAATGCTCAGAGGATAAGGATAACTTGCCAAAAAGAAAACGCTCTCGGTTAATTAATAGTGTTTTTAGTGATGACGAAGAAAACATTGTTTAATTTATATTAATATGTATCACTTAAAAAAATTTTAATGAAGATATTTATCTTAATTATGAAAATATACTAGCATGTTTTTTAATTTTTGGAACCTAACCCTCCTTTTCGTATTAGTTCTTTGTTTCGTATAACACGGATTCGCATAACACGGCAATTTTTTGGAACGTAACTACCGTGTTATACGGGGGTTACCTGTATTTATCTAAAAAAAATTAAAATATAATTTAATTTCAAATGTTTTTATCTTAAGACGATTTGTCTACGTAACTTACAGCTCCATTAAATAAAGATGTGATATATTATTGTGAAAATACCTGATGAGCTATTTCATGAGAAATTGTTGTCGCAATTATTTCCTTCTTCTGTCTAATTTTAGTAGTTTCGTTATAAAGCAATTGAGACTCTGGATAAAAGACTAAACCCCAATTTTCCATAGCAATGACGTTCTTCGATTTAATAGTAGCCATATCTGTAAAGCAAATGTATTAATTAATCTGTAATGCAATTCAAAATTTCAAACATAACTTTTTCTTATTTATACATTACTGGATTAGAATTATATACGGTGGCCTAAAAGTCGATAAACCATTTTAAAGTTCAACTTACTGTCCTATTATAATACTTTATTTACACACGGTTAACTGACTTTTGATCCACCTGTATTTATTTTAAAAGTTTTGAAAGAAAATAGATATTTTAAAAATATTTCATATTATGATTATGAAGAAAGGTTAATTAAAATGAATTTTTTTATGATTACATCTTTCTTGATCATCATCACATTTAATTTTCTGTTTCTTTTATATATTTTCAGATTTTTCCACTAAATTTTTTATTCAGTCGCAAAATATGTCAGTTTTAATTTATTGACGTAGTTTTATCTCAAATATTTCAGCAATTTTATTATGTTATTTTTTAGTATTTTTCCTTTAAACATTCCTCTAAATATACCACTTCCTTGCAAATTTAAAAAGAAAAACCATAAGTGCATTTAGCATTCTAATGATAAATATCAAGATAATTGAGGATAAAATAATTATTTATATAATTTACTGCTTGGTTTAGTTAACGACAAAGGAAAATGGAAGTAGGGGTAAATTATTCTGTGTATTATTCACTTTTGGAAGCTCAATGTTTCGTGTTTTTCATGTTAACTGTAGAAACAAAACATCTATTTATCGATTATAAATGAATTATAATTCCTGTTTTCATTTAGTATCAATGTTATCCCATAACGGGATAATCTATTTAGTTTTCTACTCAATTTTATTTTTATTTTTTTAAAAATGCCTTTTCGCAAAATAAAAAACATTTTTACTTTGCGATAAAATTTAATCATCTAGAAACTTTTTCTTAAATAGCTAATTTAATTAAATATATTATCTTTTGAATTAAGTTGATGTCTGTTTTTTCCAGAATTTTGTAATTTTCCGAAAGTGAATGTCATTAAAACCTAACTTACTTCAATAACAATGCATCATTAATGATCATTTAGTTAAATCATCAGTGATGGTTATGGTTCATTAATGATCCTTAATAACTTTGTCGAATAACTAACGATCATTTACTATAAAAAAATTAATTCAAAACGAAAAATATCTTTCATTTTTTTTAATTTTTTACTAAAAATGTTTTCGTAATAAATACTGAATATAAATTTTGAAAATGAATAAAATTTTGCACCATCTTGAAACAAAATAAATTGCTTGCATAAGGAAGCCGAAATTCATTTAATAAAAAAATGTCGTCGGCATTATTTTAGCCATCATCATCAAAGAAATAAAGTTGAATAGTTTGCAAAAAACTTAAAATATGGCACAGTACAATAATTATTAAAATGTTGACATTACAACAAGCAATGTGAGATAAAACGTTTTAAATTTAAAAAAAATATTGCAAAAATAAAACATATATAAATTATATATATTTTTTGAATATTTCTATTCATTTTATTTTATTTTACTAATAAAATAATAGTAATTATGCATTGTGAGAATTCGGCAATTATTTTGTTATAGGAAATAAAAATAAACCATCTAAAATCTACATATAGGCCTTTTTGATGTTATACATATCTTTATAATATTTAAATGATTGTTTAACGTATAAATGTATATTGTAAAATGGATAAGTAATCTCTTAATTTCCTACTCTTGACAATAACTATATTTTTTTGATAATAAATAATAATTTTTTAAACATATAGGCCTAGTAAAAATTTCTTAATTGCGAATAATTAATTATTACGCATTATTCATTAAGTAATGGTTGTAATTTAATACGCATGGTCGGTAATTTGTTACAGTTGATGATTCTTAATGAAATTTAAGCATTCTCTTTAAATATTTTTTCTAAGAAAATCTATTTTATGTGACAAAAATAATAATAAAATTTAATAATGACAATTTTCTGATTTTATATTACATGTTAGCTGGTGACTCTTGTACAGTTAATAAATATTTTAAGAAATAAAAGGAAGAAAATAAAAGGAAAGGAAAAATATGACAGAATATTTATATAAATGATTTTTGTATAATAGATATTTCAGTCATAGCTTACAGAAAATTGAAAATATCAAAATGTATTTTTCTATAATTTCATCTATAAAAATTGTTCCGTCTAAAAGATTCCAATTTGGAATACAGTATTTTAGATGAACGAATTAATTAAAAAGAACATTATAGTGGATATAAAATAAGATCGGTAAGTGATAATGAACAATAAATTACATTCGTGGCATTCTAATTATACGAAGATAAATAATTACCCAATTTAGGTGCTGCGTAAGGCACGTCGAAAAGATTTTCAAAAAAATTCATAATTTTCGGTGATAAACTCAAAGAAAAATTAGCCAAAGATATTTTTTCCGGACGACTCCAAATTGATATCTATAAATATAAAACATTAATTCTATTTAATTTTTATTATTATGTTTATATTTAGATAATAATTTTCTTAACCCTCCTTTTCGTATTAGTTCTTTGTTTCGTATAACACGGATTCGCATAACACGGCAATTTTTTGGAACGTAACTACCGTGTTATACGGGGGTTACCTGTATANGCCATACTTTCCTCGGTTATATATAACAGCCAGGAAAGTAACATATTTTATTATTTTTGTCTCTACTTTATTGTAAAGATTAGAATATATCGATATACATTCAGCGAGACAGTAATCATTGTACTATATCTATTCTACATGTCATTTTACACTCAAGGTTAAAAGAAATAATAATAATAATAATAATTGAAAAACTTACACTCAGTTCAAGCAGCTTTTGTACGTTTGTCAAAAACGTACAAAATTTTAGTCAAATCAACGTCAAGTTGATTAGATTAAAATTTTTATTTTACTATTTTTGACAATTTTTATTTTAAACTTTAATCATATTATTATTCTATTCCTGTAGGTATCACTCATTCTATCTACCGGTACATTCAGGGTGCAATATTTAGTTACATTGCATTAGCTTATGTTTAGTTAGCACATTAAAGTTAACCTAACTGTCGATTTTTTAAAATTTATCTCACATTATTTAAGCTCACAGAAAAACAATATCGTTTAATTGGGCAATTTGTAAATCGGGTCATCATTACCTTTAACTATTTTAAATATTTACAATTAACATATTTTATATAAGATAAATATAAATATGAACACAGTTGATTATATTAAAAGTTCCCGATCAATAATTTATCTTTTATATATTATATTACTCCAGACTCACTGAATGTATACAAACCCAATCTCTATTTTTGAAACAAGAAAGTCCAATATCTCTCTAAATTTGTAGAAATAATATCACTTTATATACAAATGTTAACATTTAATATAAAATAATATAAAATAATAATTATTTATGAATTATTTATAAGATGAATTTTTGTGCAAATATTGACACCAATGCTATGCTTAGGAATTGAGGTCAAGATCGAGCATGAAATTTATAACAACTGGTCATAGACCTTGTCTTGATTAAAATTTGAAGTTATAGTTTATCGTGTCATCACTCCTTTTATGTATCACTCCATTTACCATTAATATAATTACAAGCAAAACACCCGAGATATAATTTTCCTCTATACTTTAATTAGCATGCTCCAAACCTAAATTCTTCATTCTATATAAATATTCATTCATTTAATTATAAATAATTAATTCCTAGTGATAAAAAGTTTAATAATATATTCATAAGTTATTTTTAAATCAGGCAGCATCATAATAAATAGTAACTTATGTTATTTTACATACATTTATTCTTAATTTATATCTGACGAATGCTTCAAAGCCCAAGTTACTGACAGTTTTATATATTTATATTTACCTTGTTATTAGATTTACTTGTAAAATTTCCTATGGCGAAGGCAACTATGTAAGTCGACATCTTCATGGATGTTTGGTATACGTCAATATCCCATTCGTCTTTCCTTTCATCGATAATTTATATATAAAAAATTCGTTAGAAAATATTCCAATATGCTTAATTAAGATGTGTTAAACGTTTTAATTTTACAAAGCAATACCTTCAAATTTAAGTAAAAAAAAATTGAAAATTTGATTTATTATTATTATTACTATTACAAATTGTTTAATTATTATCTAAGCGAAGAATTGTCTTATTTTAAAAATCTGCTTAAATTATCATCACAATAAATTAGCTCCTTACGTTCATAAAATATCAATATTTATTCTGAAATTAAAATTATGTCAATAGTTGATAAATCATTACGTTCCTAATCTAATTCATTTAAACATGACAATTTTGGGTCAAGCTTTTTGTTGAACTTTATCGTAAGAAATCATTTATTATTTAATTATATTTAAACGGAATTATTTTTGCAGCTATTTTGCATATACCTACAGCGATATTGTGTTCATTTTAGGCATGTTGGATAGAGAAGTCATGTTTTTCCATCTGACCAGGCGAATGTCGAATTTGGCTTTCATGGCTGGTTCGTCGAAGCATGGGAAAGCTTTCCTTGCATAAATTGGTTCTAATTGTGTTGCTGCTAGACTAATAATAAATATTAACAAAGTATAAAACTATTAAGAATTCATTGAAATTAAAAATATATTATGTAATCAAGTATATAAAACTATATATAGCCTACACAATGTTATAAATCGTTTTAATTTAAAAAATCATTTATTAATTCAGTTTTGCATTAGCTTATAATATTTAGTTAAGGGTTTGATCAAACAATTTATTATAAGTTGAAAATATATCACCAATTCTGACAAGTTATTAAATTTACTAGTTATAGTTCTGAACTTGTTTTTTATATTTAAATATAAAACGAGTTAATCGAGGTCAAACTGTATTAATTTAATAATATAAATTAATTTTATTTTAATATAAAATACGTTTTAAAAAATATATATATAATTATCAGACTTTATATAAAAAGATTAAAATATAGTACTTACTACTTTTCTTTATTCTGACTATCTTTATAACTGGAGTAATAGAATCCTAAGCCATCTTCCAACAGTTTTCCAGTAAAGTTAAGTGACAAATAATAATTGATTTTAGCATTTAGATGCTGCTCGAGTTTAATGAGTACGAGATGAATTTCAGGATAGTGTTTAATGTAAGAAATTTTCACATCTTCTTTATTCTCTGATTGGAGATTGAGCCCTTCTTCGTCTATAGTCAAATTCAGAGAATGAATAAATATCTGATCGGTTCTCTCGACACACTCCAACGTAATTCGTTCCTTTCCTTCAAATTTAAAGTTCTTGGGAGTTAGATACGTTTTGATTTCTAATATATAATGTCGAGGGAAGATCGTGGAAGGTAAGCGAAAATTCGGTAATTTTAGTCTATTGGAGGAAGCCGTTCGGTCTTCATTTTCACGAAATTTCTGGTACATAACTACTCCTACCGTAATTGCCACAATGGTTAATAAGAAGATTAAAATAACCACCAAAAGTAAAAGTTTGTGCTGGAAAATAATCCTTTTGTAAATGGCCTTGTAAGATTCTTTTTCTTCATTTTTGACATGTCCATTTCCGTTCGCTACGTTACCATTCTTCATTCTGTCAGTAATTTGTAACTATAACACTTCGAACATTAATAAGATGAACTCACAACATCCTGTTAACTACTCAAGGATTTCTGTTACGCAATTATTATCCAATTAGCATCGACCGAGACTCGTACTTAACCCAGTTGATTTTACTTAAATGGAAGATTACTTCCGGTGGTTTTCCCTACTGAAAATTTTTATATCGATTAAGTAAAATTATACTTAAACAACGTTATTTTAAATTAAAAATTGGTATTATTTTTAAAATATATAATTATTGGCGTATTTATCTATATTAATAAATTCGATATTCACAGTACTCATTTTTATAAGTTATTAAACTTATGCTGAATTTATATAAGGTAGGAAAACCCAAATTACGGCATGGAGATGACTACACTGGAAATGATTATCGTCTAGAGTCTAGGTGATAGCTTAGTCATTTTGGGGGAAAAACAGTTAGGATTGGTCAAAATAATAGTCCAAACTTGGTGAGCCGTAACGGGCTTCCATATATATAGTTAAGGTACAAAAAATTGTATTAAATGCTAAATTAATTTAATATATCCTTCTTAAAATAGAATAATTATAGAAAAAACATTATGGTAAGAAGAAGTAAAATTAGATTAAAATCTGCGCATATGTGATACAAAATGTGATTTAATGGTATCAATATTCAGAACATTTTTTGAAGAAAATGACAAATTTCTAAGTTAAATTAATATTTTTTAATGTGTAAACATGAAATCATTATGGTTCTTTTTGTGTATTTCTGTTGAAGCGTTTGTCACGAAGCAGCAATTTAATCTATTTTATGTAATTACAAAATAAGGCCGCCTATTATAAATATATTCCGAGAAATGATTTACATGGCAAAAGTGCAATACTGTAAAACAGAAAAAAATAACATTTATCATTACTATTACACAATTCCAGTTATGAGAATGCGGTTTCCAAATTAGAGAACACGTGATTTTTTAATTCAAGGTTGAAAATAATGACGTCAGCGATTCTAACAATAGTACACGAGTTATCAAGACCTAGCTTAATTAGTGATGTAAAGAACAACTAATACGTCAGCGGACGTTTTATTTTTATTAACGAAAGCCAAGTGAACGTCAGTGTAACGTTTACTTTCAATAATTATTTATATTGTTTGGTTATTAGAGTTACGCCATTAGTAAAGTTGGATATACAAGACTAATATAGTTTAACTTATATATTATTTGAAATATAAAAACAATTTTTAATATAATGGAGGATGATGAATTATTAATTTGTATACAAAAATACATTGCGATAAGAATTCTTTCAACATTAATATTTGCCTGAAATACTGTATAGCAGGGGTGGCCAACATGAGGCCCGCGGGCCGCATGCGGCCCGCCGGGAGTCGTGTTGCGGCCCGCGGAGCTAGGTCAAATGAACATAAATGTTAACTTTATTGTACATATCACCAAATGAACATTAGAAGAGTTAAGAAGGTTTGGAAGAGTTCTATGAAACGTATTTGGACAAGGATAAATATCTTGCGTTTTACAACATGCTCTGTCAATGGTTTCGCTATTTGGAAACACTTATGCGTGTGAACAACTTTTTAGTCGTATGAAGTACATCAAATCACAAGTGAGAACACGAATTACTGATGTTCATTTGGAAAACTGCGTGTAGCGACTACATCAGTCCAGATCAATTTTGATGCACTTACTTGTTAGTTCTGTAAAACAAAGTCAGATGTCTCACTTTTAAATATTTTTAAATTGTCTAATAAATATGTTTCTCGGTTATATTTTATTTTCTTCAAAAAAATAAATATACCTATTTTTTGTGTTTTTTTACATTAAACCAGGCAAGTGTTTGACCACGATCTCACCTACTGGAAAGCAACGATGCGGTTGAAGCTGTAGCACGCTTGCTTGTTTACTTTAATTTAAAAAAAAATTAGGTGCGTGGCCCGGCAGGAAATATTATTTCTGAAATTTGGCCCGCCTGCTAAAAAGGTTGGCCACCCCTGATTTAAATTATTCTATTTATAAATAGGCCTATATAGGACTATATATATTAAAGTATTTACAGAGAATACAGTAAGTAATTTTACAAATTCAACTTCACATTCATAATCTTCGGATAAATGCATAAAATAGAATAAATTTATTCTGTATTATCCTTTAAGTGAATTTAATATATTATTTTTAATACTTTTGAAAAGTTTTAAATTATTTTTAGAAAAATTTAATTATCTGAAAATCACTTTTACAAAATTAAAGCTAGAATTTAAACTTTAAAAGATAAATAAATGTACAAAAACCTTTTATCCTGGACGTAAATTTTTCCTTTAAGTAACAGAACTTAAACATCATTTTAAAATATGCTAGAAATATTCTTAACCAAACATATCAAATTTAAATATCTGAAATGTCTTTAACTGTTTTATAAAAATAATTACATTTTATAGTTGCATAGTATTATTATAGACTAGCAAATGAGCCAGGCGTTGCTCGGGCAAACGATTTGGATGATTTGATAAATATTGTACGTTTGCAAATTAAGTTATTACTATCAAAAACAAAAAGTCGCGTCTAAAATAGCACAGTAGAAGCCGTTCTTCAGGTTAAGCCATAATTCTCTCCCTCTCCCCGTGGGGGGAATTTCGAAAAATCCCTTCTTAGTGTGCATTTTCATGACGTACCCTGTTTACCAAATTTTACCTCTTTAGGTTCAGCGGTTTGCTCTGGGCGATGATGAATCAGTCAGGACATGCAATTTTATATATTATCTGTAAATAGAATGTAACACCGAATATACTGAGTAAATAGAATGTAATACCAAATCTTGGAATAAGATTACATTCGAATTTGTAAACATCATGGAAGAAGTTTGGAATTTAAAAAAATATTATTACGATATTATTTAGAATATAAAAAATATTATTATAAAATATATTACAGTAGACCCCCCTATAACGCTTAGATACGTTCCACGTTATTCGAATTTTACGTTGTAGGAATCATTAAATACATGAGCCAATCGCAGCCCGACAGGTGTGAAGTTTACGGACTAAGGCTGTTTGAAAGGTTTTCTTCTATAAAATTAACCGATTCTAGACTAATTCCACTCAACATTTCCAAAACACGTATAATTTTTTGGGAATAATCCGTATAAACTATGCTATAAACAAAAAATTGTAGGATTACTTACCGAGTGTGCACCGTTCGACTACGCCGTTGCTCAAGCTTGTTTTCGTCGCGGAACAGCGCACGAAACGGCGGCCGCGATTTCTGATAACGAATTTTTCGCAGAAAAATAACTTGACCTTTGGAGACATCATTAATATAAATAATTTTTATGGCCGTTGAATAAGAAATGTTTCTTTCACAAGAAATGTATAAAATTAGTGCTGTATTAGACTTACGGTACCTAATTTACATACTGTACAGACGATAATAAACTCAACTTACTAGCCTAAACTCTCCGTAGCGTGGCGCTAGACGGCAGAAATTATATATATATAATTATAATAAAGTTACAATAAATTAAGTTAATATATAATTATCTATACAGTACCTAATTTATATATAATTAATATATAATTATATGTACAGTACCTAATTTATATATAATACTGTACAGACGATAGCAAACTCAATTTAGCCGCCTAAACTCTCCATAGCGTGGCGCAGGGCGGAGGAAAGTAGTTCGGCTGCTCATTCACTATCGGTCCAGATTCTATCAATCTTGTCGCGACACGAGTCGGCGACGACGTTTTAGGAGTTCCTTTATACGAATATTGCTACAGTTTTTTCGCTACGTTATAGGAATTTCCGTTATAGGAACCCACGTTATAGGGGAGTCGACTGTATTTATAAATTTATTAAAAACATCTTGTTATTTATTTCGAAATATGTCTGAAACTTCTGCATTAATTTTATAAAAACTTTTGAAAAAAACTCAAAAATTTATAAATTTAAAAATTATTGTTTTTATTTTTTATTTTTTAGTAACTTAAAAGATGATGATGATGTTTATTTTTAAGCTCATATAAGTTATTATATGTATATTACACACACGGTATAAATAATAAAGAGTTAAACATAGCGGAACAAATTACATTAGTTATAATACCATAATCTTGCCGTTATTTTGCTTATAACCATGTCGAAAATGTAATCGTAACGGAAATTTAATTACACGCAAACTGACTTTTTTATTATTTTAAAATGCTAAAAACTTTCATATAATAATTATTACTCGTAAGTTCATATATTTTCACGTATTACTTTCGTATTTATATACTGTAAAAATATACATTTATAAATATTAATTAATAAACTTAAATAATAATGAAAGCATAGAAATTAGGCTTATTCAAAATATTAAAAATTTTTTAAAAAAATACGTCTTTAAATATAACTTTATGGCTTAAATTTAACGCTTAATGATATTTTTTTTGTTAAAGTTTATTCTAATGACAATTTTAAAAAGTAAACTAGAAAATTATACCTTTAATAGCAATACAAGAAAAAAATTTTATTTTAATTTTTTTATATCAATACCTTGTGAATATTATATTATGATTATAATATTATAATTCAATATTTAATATTAAATTTTATAATTACGCATGTTATAGTCTACTCTTAAGTTTACATAGATAAGTCCATGAATATCCTCCGTGCGCCATAACTAAAACTGTTAAGACCTATATTTTTACCTAGAGGACCTGTTTAGGACTTAATTTAATTGTTTAATATGTATAATAAAAGTCTATTTGATGCTAATAGATAAATTATAGTTTTATAAACAAAATCAATAATTTAATACATGTAATTATAATAATATACTTGCTAACAGGATTGTAATGAATACTTTAATATATCCGTCCTTTAAACGTCATCTTAGCTATCGTGTTATTACGATTTACGAAAAGAGTAACAGAAACCGAACGTATGTAACAAGTAGAAATACTTGAATTTTATATAATGCCTTTCTGTATGATAAGTACTGTACAAGTAGAAACAAACTCATGTACAGTAGAATTGCGTGTCATTGTATGACAACAATATAGAATCGAAAGGCATTTGTAAAGCGAAGTGAATAATAGAAACGAATATTCACTTAAAGTTTAATGACACAAAATCGAAGATAATGTGAAACAGAGCGAAACGTCTCTAATGTAATAAAAATGAAGTGAAATTGTCGATGCGATACAAAATAAAAAATTATTATAAGTTAGATATCGCCTATGACTTTAGAAAACAAATTACGTCAATATTGTATATAGAAATGTTTTGTTATTGTTAATTGATAATCATTAATATGAAATGTTGAAAATAATATCACTTCATTAAAATTTTAAGATTGTCTATTTTTATGTTAATTATATTTAATTGTGAATGTATTTAGAGACTTGATGATAAGTATAATAATTAAAAAAAATACAATTATCGTAATTTAAATAAAATAATTTTATAAATATGTAATAATGTAAGTTGAGACTTTCCGGATCGCTATTATGAGATTATTCAACAAAATTAAATAATGAGTATAACGATCCTTTTTTGCTATTTGATATAAGAGAAATATTTAATATTTAATATAGAGTCATATGGGCATATAGGCTATAATTTAAATGTTTTTTCATGCGATCGGAACTTGACAGAAAGAAAACCTGTTATTTATTTACGATATTTATTAATTAAATATTTTCTACGTTTATCTGTCGCATCTTATCCGTTATTTTATTATTATTATTATTATTTTATTTTATTTTTTCCTGTATATTTTAATACGTGTTGTCAGAAAACATTAATAATGGCAAACCAGTGGATGGAGATATGTAAATATTTATGCCCTAAAGGTACTTTTTAACTAGGCGTGGACATAGATTCATTGGGCAATGAATCTATATGCAAATATGAATCTGTATATGGGGCAAATAAAGACAAATTAAGTTCAAAGTGATTTGATTGTTAAGATTTCAAATTATGTAAACAACATTAAGTTGGTTCGTCACCTTGTTATAGGCTTATTAACGAGAGCAAATATAAAATTCAAATAATACGCGTAAAATACAGATAAATATCACTTTTTAAAGGAAACAGCTATAGAAAGTATCCATACCGACGAAGTGATTTTAAATCTGTTAGTTAATATTCTGCATAAAGATAAATCGGAATAAACAGAAGTTATTGAGGAATAAAAATTGGAAGTTTTCATTTGAGAAAGAAATCAAAACAAAAGATAAATTAAACAAAGCGTAAAGACAGCTTAGGTCAAGTATATTTTATGCTTTCGAATTGTTACTATTCTGATGTTATTTATATAATGTTGTAAATACCTCTTTATGTTTAATAGTAAAATTATTTAAATAAATGCAAATAATCTTAAGTTGAATGATGGAATTTTTACTTTATGAAAAAGAATAGATACGGGTATATAAAAATAAGTGACTTCTCGAGAAGCAGGTTAAGAACAGTAAGTTTAGAGGCAGAATAACTTCCCTATCTCCAGAAAAGACAAGTCACGACGAATGGAAAGCCTTAAAAAGAGTTTTGCAGGAAAGTAACCAACAGAAAATATGTGACAGAAATTAATTTTCCAAACTTAAGTCGTGCATATGATACTTTGATTCACATAAAATGATTATAAAACTACAAACAATTCTTTACATATATACGATAATTATATATTTCTGTAATACGAGTATTTATATGATAAAATTAGTTCTATATATAAATTATCAGCATTATTTGAGACTTACATTAAACTTATTATGATATTGTTTAGTTTCAGAAAATAGTTCAAAAACATTGATTTAGCATTTTATAAGCTTAAAATATTCTGCATTTTTTAAAATAGAGTTATATTACCAAAAGCTTACAAATTACGAAATAATTAGTGTTAGTAATTAAAAGATGATATTGAGAATTTGATGTCATAGAACTTTTTTACTGTAAAATTCAAATTTACCAATAACTTACTGTAAAACGAAAATATGTTTTAATTTGACACTACCTAAGTCTAACTTTTATATTAAATTCTGATATTTTAAACGCTAAAAAATAATGATGTTATATAAATTTGTAAATATTTTAAAAATTCAAAATTTTCAAAAATACTTTAACAAATAATATATACAAAATTATTACTTCTAAAAATATAAAGAAATTAGAAAAAATTCGAAAATATTATTAGTAATTTCTGTACTGCTAAACAATATAAATAATGATCATTGATATTTTTAGAACAGGAAATTCAATAAATATTATAATTTCCGCAATTTATATAATATACTGTATATTTGTGATCGTTAGTTTTTCTCATTATGATAGCAACAACCTACCAGCAACCTGAGTAAAGTAAAAAGGCAAAATCCTCTTCACATAATTCAAAGCCAATTTTTGATTATGAATGTACTGTACAATACAATATACTCTCGTCTATATCTCAGTCGACCTTATTTGTTATTAAACTTTCTTAAAAAACATGCTAACAATACATATAAATCAACATAAAGTTCATATTTAAAGAAAAAGTAGCATAAACGTGCTAAGAAAATAAAATAGTTTAGAGCAAACTTGGCGTAACGATAAACTAACCGAATTATTCGAATTATTTTTAATATTATTATCATATGTAAACTATTTTATGGTCGATTTACTTTAATTTTGCATGAAATGGCGATGAACCGCGAATAGGTTCACGATTTCGTTAAAGATTCCATAAATTTCAATTCTCTAGATCTTGTGCTTCGAAATATTCATTACAAACAAGTAAACGGCCAGGAAAAAAAGTGTGTAATCTATTTTCATAAATTTTAAAATGATTACATTACAATAAAAATATTAAATGCAATACTTTAAAAAATAGAGAATAATATTCTCAAATATATTAACTTCTGTTTCCAGTTTTATGATCTTTATTAAAGTATTTATGGGTTTATCAACTGTTATAGACTGTATTATATTTATTTTATTGTGACTTTAAATCTTATAATACCTTTGTTACTTTCAAGTTCAATAACCCATAATGCTAGATGATTGTCGAATCGATTTGACATCCTTTTCGATAACAATTAACTACTTTCGTTTCATGTACGTTTAATGAAAGTAGTTTTGTTATTCACAATGAATGTCCTACTTTGCACAGAACATAACATATAGGCCTATATGTAGTGTTAATACGGATATATATACTGTATAACATAAATACGAGGATATTTATTTATTCGCTATTTAAACAAGTTGACTTGATATGCTAGTTTTTAAGGCGTTATACGTTAATTTTAAGTATTGGAATTTTTATTAAATTTATTTTAAAAAATGTATAGTTTTTTAGAATTATCCTAGATTAATTACACAAATATTAAAGAATTTAAATATGTAGGCTAAAATGATCAATATTATTAAATTAAATTTTATTCGGTATAATTAACAAAACTAATTAAAATTTTAAATATCTTTATTCCATTAAATTAAATTGATGTAATTTTATTTCAATAATATTTAGTTGTTATTTTATGATTCTATAATTACATGTCTTAATGTTTACAAAATAAATTTAATTTGTAAGTTATATATACTTTTCTTTGCAAAATATGTATAACTGTTTGTAATTGTATAGTTAGAAAATAAGCATAGTTAGTCTTCTGGTAATAAATAGCAGATAAAAAAATTAATTTGTATTTGAAATAATTACAATCTTCTAATATTAATTTAAATTCTAAGTAATAAAGTGCAAACTCGAAAGGTCTTTAAAATAAATATAATTTAATTTATCCTATATAATATTTAAGATTAACTTCTTTGAATCATCGAGTAAATGTATAGACTGTAAGGTGAAACTTCTAAGAAAAATCTGAAATTTCTACAAGTGAGATCACAAAAAAATTCCTCAAGGTCGCATTTACAAAATATTTCTTCTATATTTTTAGAAATATAAAGAATTACAAATTATAAATTAATTATTACTTATTGTATATACTGTATGATATTTATGAATATGAAAACAAAGTATGTTAATAATTCGAAAAACTACGTTTATATCCTACCTTTGATATCCTGAAAGTAAGAAATTTCTTGAATAATTTATCACAGTATTGAACTGAATAACTTTGAAAGCAAATTTATAGGTCTGTGGGTCTATAACTCCAGCGTAACATCGCCGTCTTAGTCTGTGTGAATGAACACTCTGACCCACTTTTAAACTACTTAAAGCTAACACGAACTGACATTAACTATTCTACCGATATTATTCCAGCTTAGTATATTCTAAGTTAAAAAAAAAAATTCTGTTTGTAAAATTTTCAAGTAAATAACTCAAAAATGATAAATCACTATATTCTATTAAAAATCAATGTAAAATTTTATTAATTTTAGCAGAAAAATCTTACCGTGCTTTGAACGTTAGAATCTGAAACACGTGTGAGAAGAATAAGGAAAGTAAGGGTCTAGGTTTTTTGTAGGTGGAAACAGGTTTTACTTTATGTTCGGGTAGAGTCCATTTGCAATATGAAAGAGTGTTAAGCAATCAAAAGCTTCTTTCATTTATGTAATTGTGATGCAATCCGCCATCTTTCATACGAATTCGTATGAATTCGACTAGTATAATTATATTACTATATAATATAATTAGAAGAGCTATTTACGGATGAATTATATAATTGTGCTATTAATATTAACAAAAAGGTTAATTTAAATTAAGTTAATAATCGAATTAGTTAATTAAAATTTTAAATATTTGTCTGTATTAATTAATATAACTAGATACGAATAATTATGATTTGCATTTTTTTTTATTTGAAATATTACACATTCTTGTAATAGCACCTGTTTCTAAATATGGATATTAGTCAATCAAGACTTAAATATAAATTTTCAATCTTATGATCTAATCAGGAATTATTTATATTTATATGATTAGCAAACACGCACGTGTGTGTGAGCGTGTTGTAAATACCTTTCATACAAAAAAATATTTTTATATATTGTTTACTGTTCAAGTTTCATAAATTTATATAATGTTTTATATTATCTTAGAGACTGTGACAAAACAATTACATCAATGAAATTATCTATTGAGGAAGTTTCTTTTCGCTTCACTGATTTTAGAATATGTTTCTTTAGTAGACTCGTAAATTATATATATATATATATTTTAATCAGAAAAATATCAGAAAAAAAAAAAACATTTTCAGCTGTCAGAAGTTAAATTTTATTTAATTCGATTGTAAACATCTGTGATAAATTATTCATCAGCAATTAAATTTGTAGAAATTAAATTTGTTGTATTTAACGTAGACATGAATATGGTTAAATGATTTTTTCATCACTAATGACAATATTTTGGTGTTTAATAAAAAAAATTTTTATCATTTTTATAATATTCAATAAATTTATAATTATATAATTTTTCTCAATTGCAGAAGAGAAAATTCTATTGAAAAATGATCTGGTCGAAGATATAAAGCTATCGAATGCAAACATGCAATTTTAGACTTCACGTCTTTAGGAGGGTTCATTTGTGTAAAAATGTTTTATTTAACAAATAAAACAAATACTGTATTTGTACTGTACATGTTTTCTGTGCAAATAAAATTTATTTATAAAATAAAATAAATTTTATTTTACGAAAATACTTCCTACGAGACATTTTACTTTTCCGGCTGTTATAACAGAGGGCTGTTATGGCGATCCGCCAAAAAAATGACCCCCCCAGATTTGTGCAGTTTTGAACTTAGGACACCTTGAAACGTCGAGAAATGCAAAAAAAATTGGGATAATTTCTGCATTATGGATATTAGTGTGTGTGTGGCACGGTTTTGTTCACCCTGTTTGAAGCTTAACTTCTGAGCTTTTTGTCGAAAATTTCTAAAATTTTGCAGGAAGGTTTATTAGGGGATTGATCTTATTAAATTTTGGTGGTTAAAGATCGTGTGGATATAATGGGTAATCGTGTGTATCTCCAGTATGGTCGGACTTAATGACATTTTTACTCGTTATTAGCATTTACAATTCTTTTATAAAACTCATCTCTAGACACAAAATTAAGATTTTTGCCATTTTATAATAGTTAAAAATATAAAAGTTTTTAAAATAAAATATGATAACAGATGGCCCCACCAAAATTTTAAATGTTACCGGGAAAGTTGAGCAACTCGTTGCTGATTTATTTCTGATGTTATCACTGTCATCATTATTAATTAAAATCGAAATGAAATTCATTTTTCTTGCTTCAAACACAGTACTATTTCATTTCTAAACTTAAATAGCCTATATAACTTTAACTATAATTTTATAATTGTTTTTTAAGATTTTCAAAACTGCTCATTGACGTGATACAAACTACGAGTAGGAGACATAAAGAATGAAAAAAAAATTTCTGAAAGTATCCAATTGATAATATTGTATACTTTCAGAATCGTTAAAAATATTAAAAATTGGGAATTAAAGTATAAGAGAAGTAGCATTTAACATCCATACATATAGAAAAACCTCCGAATTTTTTTGCATTTCTCGACGTTTCAAGTTCTCCTGAGCCCAGAAATCTAAAAATCTTGGAGGGGGTCAGTTTTTGACCGATCAGTATACTTTTCCTCTATTATATCTAACAGAGTCGAGAAAATAAAAAGTGGAAAGGACCATAAGCCTAAAAGCAACATTTCGAGAATTATTCTCCTCAAAGTTGTAATGCCATCATTTTTTATTATAGACAAGTATTACTGTTGATCTCTTTTCATCAGGGGCGCCCGTACATTGGGGAACTTGGGACACCCGACCCTTCTTTGTCGCCTGCTTTTCCTTTTCTTAATCCCCAAGGGAGCTCTAAAGTTTCGTTTTATTTTTAAATTAGTTACTCACGTTTATCATAGAAAACATTTTTACTGATGACAAAATAAAAATAAAAATACAGTATTTGTTATTAACGAAAATTTGTTCTAGCGGGTGTTGCTTGTTCGGTGGAGTACGGAGGTACAGTAATATCGCGGTTTTCGTTGACTTTGATTATCGTCGGTTTCAGTTTTCGTCGATATTTTTCGCGAAAAATTTGTCTCGGTTTTCGTCGATTGCCTTGGATTTCGTCGGCGTGCCCAAGTAACCTCGTTGCTAATTTTGCGAAAACAAAGGGCGACCCACACGTTTTCCGGCTCAGTGTGGCGTTATTTCTCGTGTGATCATTACCCCGCGACGGCCCACCAGTGGCCAAGAGGTTCGCGCCTTGCCAGGAGGGCTGACCACGTGAAGTTTACCGGGTTTTCTCCACGTCTGTAGCGCCAGTTACCCTTAAACGACCTCCCGGAAGGCATTATTCCCCGCGATACGACCATCATAAACGCATACTACTATTACATGACAATTACGTCACACTTTACCTCGGAGCGATATGGACTAGAAGCTCATATCCAACTAGCTCCTACAAGACGAGACATTACCCTGCGCATCTAGCCAAACAATTCCAACACTTTCCTTTAGATTAATCTTTTATATTAATTTCTTATTGCTTTTAGTATTAAACACTATATTTATTCTCTATATAACGTGTTTTTGGTATGTATTTTGGAGTGTCTAGAACGAATTCATTTCGTTTACATTGATTCATATGGAAATAATTGTCTCGGTTTTCGTCGGTTTCGGATTTCGCCGATTGTTTTCGGACGGATTATCGACGAAAACCGAGGTATCACTGTACCACCGAATTTATTATGTAAAGGATTATAAGCAATAATAACATTAAATACAAACGATAGCATCTGATACTAACAATAGAAACAAACTACACGCCCGAAATTTCCACAGTTCAAAATAGACGTTTATATAATCAATTTAATAAAATAAAGTATTTTACAAAAACACTCGTATAATTGTATTTTGAACAAAAATTACTAAAATGTTTGTATTTAAATTTTTTTAAATTTTAGTTTTCAATATTCCAGATTACAAAATACTGTATCTCGTAATGTTATGAAATATGCAATGGCGTACCCAGGATCTGAACTAGAGGGGGGCAACTCATATTAGTTTCGAGGTTATGGGGAGGGAGAGTGAGATTTCAGGACAGATGGCTCTAGTCTAATCACAATATTCATTATTCAAACTAATACCAAATTGATACGTCTGTGTTTTATGTCTGTGTGTCAATTACTATACTAATCTTTCTTCTAGGGGTTGGGCAGCTGACCTTCCCTGCCCCTCGCTGGGTACGCCCTTGGAAATATGTATACTGTATAAACATTACGAATTAAGAACGTTACTAGTATTAGTAGCTCATAATGAATATTTATATATATATAGCTCTATATGTATAGTCTATATATGTATTTATGTATATGTAGGCCTATATGTATGTATTGAGCCACCAATAGCCACATAAATAATTAAATAATTAACCTAATCTCTATTGATAATTAAGAATTATTTGATTTTAAAAACTTCGAATAAAGCTAAAAGAATGTTTTAAATTTTTATACACACATATATCATATATTTTTTCATCGCTACTTTTTTGATGTGGCCCGTGAAATTTTGTTGTGAATCGTATTTTGCTTACGTAAAAAGTTGTAGAGTAATTCGATACATGAAAAGCTTATTTACTTTTTATACAGACCGAGGAAGACAATGGATAAATTGCTGGATGGATTCTGAGGTGAAAACAGTTCAACTATGGCCCAATTCTTTGAATAATGATGTATAATTAAATAATTTTATGTATTTAAGATCTTAAAAACTTTAATTTTGTTTTATTAATTAATTAATAATAAAGAATTAATTATATAAATATACTTAACAGAACGTGAATAAATAATCAATTGATGTTTGAACTGTATTTTCAATGATTTCTTTTACAATTTGCTGCAATTAATCTTCTAAACGAATGTTTGCATTTCAAAAGATAATGATAATTTTATTATTTCAAACAAGATGATGCAATAAATAACTATTATTATTAACTTAATTAAAGATAATTGCTGTAGCAATAAATAAATTATTTAATTATATTATAAATAATATAGCTTTTTACATCAAATCCGATTGTGATTATTGGAATGAGAATGTAAACAAATATATTTAAACTATTTACTTGTTTACATTCATTTTAATATTTAAGAGATATATATTATACGTGGCATATTAAAAATATGGAAATTTTTATAGAGAAATAAAATATTTTATATCCTATTTTATATATAAAATATTACTGATAATTAAATGCCATTGAAATTTTTTTAATGTAATTTCCTTCCTGAAACGTCATTCAAAAGAATGTTAACGATAATAAATAAATATGAATAATAGAGAAATAAAGTCGGTTATAATGCTGAATTTCACGACTTATCTGTTGGAAAAGTAAGGATATTTAGCCCCCACATTAGAAATATTTAATAAAATGCGAACGAAGGTGAAATATTTTCAGTTTTATTGCGTTTAGTTATTAAGTAATTATATCTGACCTAATTAACATTAATCATCTAAGAGCAAATAAAATAATTTATTTAATTGTTTTTTTTCTTTCATTCTTTTAAGTGCTTGCTTGCCTATTCCTGTGTATTCAGCACTTCTACTTGTAAAGTCAAACATTTGATTTTACGAATATTTAACGATTTCAAATTATTTATAAGATATTGTTAGATAATTTCACCGTCTGATTTAAGCATAAGAAACCTTTCTGGAAATTTGATTCTGTCTAGAAGATTGTAAGTCTAGGATACGATGTCGAAAGTACTTAAAATACTTTAAACTAAATTAAATTAAACTGTCACCGTTTCTAACTTTTAAATTTTTTTAAGTAACCAAACCATTTTCTTTAAATTAGAGTTCTTTCTCATAATTAATGAAACTTTATTTTTACAGTAAGGTAAAAATAGAAAAATGATCAGATTTGAGAATGATTCCTTACGAATATTGTGGCCGGAAGATGGAAATAATACAAAGCCTATTTCTACTACTAATTGATGCAGCCGTATACATGATCAAGGCTGCACACAACTTGCGTATGTTTTAACCTAAGCTGAACCACGTCACGAGTTTGTCCCACAGGGTCCACCCAGTTGCGGAAAATACACGATGTTCGTTTTCTAGTCGCGTGGATAGTTACCTCCAAATAATTTTCTTTGAGAGTTCCCTCGTAGGTTCCTTCCTTTCTTGGATAGATAGTTTCGGCGAAGATAGTATTTGAAAATAATCCATGTATCTACATTAATAAACCTATTGCACCATCAACAGTTTTAACGATATGCAGGTACAACTTTGTGAGCTAAGGCTATGGGTGGGACGGAAGGAGAACCAACGAGCAACGATCGCACTCTTGAACGAACTCGAACACCCCGACCTTCCTTCACCTTCTCCTTTTATACCATTCTATTTTCCCACGTTTCTGGTTATACCCAAATTTTGTAAAATCGGATAGAAAGTGAGACTATTATCCAATCCCAGATTTTTCTTGTGGAATTTCGTTAAGTGAGTCGAACATCCAAGATTCGCTATCTCGAGTCCCTGGTCAGACCAACAGAAAAGCCAAGGAAAAATTAAAATCTGTGCTTGAAAAAACCCTGGATTTGGTGCTTTATTTAAGATAGATTCTTTTTATCAAGAAAATAATCGCAGTTCCTTTTCCGCTAAAGATTGACTCAGAAAACGTCGATAACTTCAAGTACGTATAGTATCTTCAACATGTAATGTCGAGAGACTGCCCAATACTGCAAAAGTATAAAAGAATGTTGGTGAGACAGACGATCTACGAGTAACTGATTATTCTGCTTTTACGGATTTCAACCGATAATGTCTAATACAACCACAACTTTCCTACAAATCAATACCCAAAAACGTCGAGCCGCCTCGTCTCTAGTAATTAAAACGGCCAATGATATGAATGCGGACATTATTATGATCCAGGAGCCCTATACAGTAGAAGACAAAATTGTTAGGTTCGGCTCTTGGCGTGTTCTTAATAAAGGGGAGGCGGAAAAGAGACCCAAATGTGGGATTATCATAAGGAACTTCAACATTAAAGCAGCTCTTGTTCCGGAGCTTAGCTCCAACAGAATTACAACAGTGGCCCTTCACCACGGCCCTGTGGACTTTATACTGAGTGTGTATTTCTCCCCATTTGACGAGGATGAGGGTTGCATAAAAGAACTAAGCGAAGTAATGAGAAAACTAGAGGGCAAAACTTACTTTATCTCTGGAGACTGCAACGCTAAATCCCCGCTGTGGTTCCATGAGGAAGAGGACCATAGAGGAAAACTCCTTGAGGACCTAATAAATGAATTCGACTGTTATTCAATGAACACTTCAGACATCCCCACCTTCTTTAACGGAAGGGCCAGGGGTTGGACGGACGTCTGCATTTCCCCCAACAGCATAAGCAGCTACTTCCAGCAGTGTGAGACCGTCCTCACTGACTCGGCCAGTGACCATAGGTACATTGTGATTAAGGCCAGAGGCCGAGGACGTACGACGGATACCACCACACCACATTACAGAAGAAAAACGAACTGGGAACTATTCAAGAACATCTACTCAGTCAGCTGGAAGAACTACATCTTTGAACAAATGCAAGACACCCAAAGCATAAACAACTAGGTAAAACACATAACGGATTCACTGACCCTGGCAGCAAAGCTATCATCAAAAATAAACGCAAGTAACCCCAATAAGACCCATTGGTGGACAAGCTCATTAGAAAACCAAAAAAGAAAAGTTAGAAAAGCCCGCAAAAAATGGACTAGGAACCAGAATCCCAACTTGACAGAGACACTGAGGAAAGAATATAATGAGGAATTAAAGAGCTACAAGCAAAATATAAACAAAACTAGGAGCGCATCCTGGCGCAAATACTGTTGGGATCACTTGAAAGACCCTTGGGGACAACCCTACAAAGTGGCCTTCAAGAAAAATGCGAGGGCTACAATCCCGAATATCACCAACAGTAACACCACTAACAATACAGTAACTATGACATAGAAGAAAACATCAAAAATCTTTTGGACTACCACTTCCCAGAGGACAATACAGAAGAAGACAACGACTATCACCAACAGATCCGGCATAATAATACTACAAACTATACCAGCTACCAGGATAAATGGTTTACCTTTAACGAAGTGGCCAAGGCCATCAAATCTCTGGCCAATAGGAAAGCCCCTGGGATAGATGATATCACAGCCGAAATGCTGAAGCACGCATTTGAAGAAATTCCCATCTCTTTTGTAATATTATACAACAGCTGCCTACAGATAGGCTACTTCCCGACCCAATGGAAAGGGGCAAACGTCATCTTCATCCCAAAAAAGAATCAACCGAATTCTGAGCAAGACTACCGCCCTATTAGTCTTCTTCCGGTATTGGGCAAAGTCCTTGACGGCCTTATGATAAACCGGATCAATTGGCATCTGGTAAGCCACAAACTTCAGAATAAAAATCAATATGGGTTTCGACCTGGTAGTTCAACGACCATGGCAATTCAGAAAGCCACCCGTTTCATTGAGGAAGCCTGGGACAAAGACCAGCATGCCTTGCTGGTAAGCATAGATTTTATAAAGGCTTTCGACCACCTATGGTGGCCGTCTATCACGAATAGCCTGAAGGACCTATGGATGTCCGAAGAATATATACGACCTACTAAATAGTTATCTGAAGGACAGAACGGCTGGCTTCTTCTTGGGAGGAATGAACATCATTAAACAAGTGAACAGAGGATGCCCCCAAGGCTCCCGTAGCGGCCCCGGGCTTTGGAATCTGACTTATGATAACCTCCTGGACACGATTCAAA